AGGAGACCCATGTCATTGCTTAGTCCAGACTTGGGAATTAAAGGGTGATTGCTAAAAAGCTGACCTGTGTCCTTTTGTTTGTATGCAGTTATTGATAGAAAAGTTAGCTACAGTATAAAGACTGAAGTCCTTCAAAATGACAGCTAAGCAATTTTATGCTGTAATTTTTTAGCCACCTGTTTGAGAAGATCATGACTAGAGCACCAGGGATGTGTTCATCCTTCTTGCCTGCTATCACAGGCTGAACTGTTGATCTATACTGTGTGTGAATGACAGAACTGATACTTGTGCTTTCTTGTTTTCAGGAACTTTACACACTGATAAGACCTGAGGGAACTTCAGCAAGCCAAAAGAATATGAATTTGTCTGTATGGTCTATGTGTGCTTGTGGGTGTAATCTGTATATCTCCAGAGGAGACTCCACAACCTTTCTGTTTGCAATTGCTGAGTCACACCCCATGAAAAGTCACTGTTGTCCCAAGTTACTGGAAAAGGAAATATTGAACCCTTCTATAAAGGTAGAAGGGAGAACCCTGGGAACTACTGCCCTGTCAGCCCCCTTCTGTGCCTGGGAAGGTCATGGAACAGATCTTCCTAGAAGCTCTGCTAAGGCACACAGGGGACAGGGAGGTGGTTTGAGAGAGCCAGCACGGCTTCACTCAGGGCAAGCCCTGCCTGACCAACCCTGTGGCCTTCTGTGATGGGGTGGCTCTGTCAGTGGACAGGGGAAGGGCTACAGATGTCATTTATGTGGACTTCTGTGAAGCCTTTGACAGGTTTCCTCCTAACATCATTCTCTCTAAATTGGAGAGAGAAGGATTTGCTGGGTGAACTCTTAGATGGATTAGAAATTGTTTGGAAGGTCACATGCAAAGGGTAGTGGTCAATAGCTCAGAGTCCTGATGGACATCAGTGACAAGTGGTGTCCCTCAGCAATCTGTTTTGGGACCAGTGTTATTTAATATCTCCATCAAAGACATAAACAAAGAGACTGACTGCACCCTCAGCAGCTTTGCAGATGACACCAAGCTGAGTGGTGTGGTTGACACACCTGAAGGGTGGGGTACCCTCCAGGGGGATGGACAAGGTTGAGAAGTGGGCACATGGGATTCTCATGAGTTTTAACAAGCCCAAGTGCTGGTGCTGCACCTGGGTCAGAGCAACCCCCGGTACCAGCACAGGCTGGGGATGGACAGATCAGAGCAGCCCTGCCCAGCAGGACTTGGGGGTGCTGCTGGGTGAGAGGCTGGGCATGACCCAGCCATGGGCACTGCCAGCCCAGAGAGCCAAACGTGTCCTGCGCTGCATCCAGAGCAGCGTGAGCAGCAGGGCAGGGAGGGGATTCTGCCTCTCTGCTCTGCTCTGCTGAGACCCCACCTGCAGGGCTGCACCAGCTCTGGGGTGCCAGCACAGCAAGGACATGGAGCTGCTGGAGTGAGAGGAAGGCCATGATGATTAGAGGGATGGAGTACCACTCCTGAGGAAAGGTTGCGAAAATTGAGATTGTTCAGCCTGAAGAAGAGAAGGCTTTGGGCTCACCTAATTATGGCCATACAATTCCTGAAGGGAGACTACAAGAAAGCTGGAGAAGGACTTTCTACAAGAGCATGTGGTGACAGACAAGTGGGTTGACCCTGGCTGGATGCCAGGCACCCACCAAAGCCACTCTGTTGTTACCCTCTGCAACTGGGCAGGAGAGAGAGAATATAATGAAGGGTTCATAGCTGAGATAAGGTGTGGGAGAGAGATCACTCACTAAATACTGTCACAGGAAAACCAATATTGAATTGGGAATATTAACTGAATTTATTACTAACAAAATCAAAGCAGAATAATGAGAAGTGAAATAAATCTTAAAAACATCTTCTCCCCTACCCTTTCTTCCTTCCCAATCTCTACTTCCCCCACCAGTAGTGTGAGGAGATGGGGAGTGAGGTTACAGTCCATCACTCCTTGTTCCTGCTGCTGCTGAGGAAGAGGAGCTCCAGTGTGGAGTTCCTCCCATAGGTGACTGTCCTCCAGGAACTTCTTCACCGGGAGTCCATCCCATGGGCAGCAGTTCTCCACAAACTGCTGCAATGTGGGTCACTCTTCCATGGGGTACAGTCCTTCAGGCACAGCCTGCTCCAGCATGGATTTCCCCTGGGTTTGCAGCGTCTCTTGGGCACCCATCTGCTCCAGTTTGGGTCTCCTCCATGGGCTGTAGGGGAAGCTCAGCTCCAGCACTTCCTGCCCCTTTTCCACCTTGGTGTCTGCTGAGCTGTTCCTCTGACATATTCTCACCCCGCTCCTCTCTGGTCACAATTACATCTGTGCAATGGCATTTTTATTTTTTTTTTTCCTTTTTCCTTAAATAAGTTATCACAGAGGTGTTACCATCATTCCTGAGTGACTCAGCCTTGTCAGGCAGCAGGTCCATACTGGGGCCACCTGGCATTGGCTCTGCAGGACATGTGGGAAGATTCTGGCAGCTTCTCATAGAAGCTGCCCTTGTAGCTCCCTCTGTTACCAAAACCTGGTCATGCAAACCCAATATAGTTTCCCAGAGAAGTTGTGGATGCCCCATCCTTGGAAGTGTTGAAGGCAAGGTTGGGTGGATTTCTGAGCAACTGGTCTAGGTGAAAGGTGTCCCTGCCCATTGTGGGAGGGCTGGAACTGAATGATCTTGAAGGTCTCTTTCAACCCAGGCCATTCTATGATTCTGTGATGAAGCCTGGTTTTCTTGTGGGAAGACTGGAAATAATTCCTCTAAGTCAGAAAACAAATGCACTGAGAGCAAGTGGAGACTGTTCTGTACCTGCTGATAGAAAAAGTGGTCTCTGATTAGTGTAGCTAGAGGTTCTAGCAGAAAGGCCATTTTAAAAAACCCTCAATCCATAAGTTTTTGCTAGAGAGCTGTGCTTTTATGAGGACAGCATTGCTGATAGAGTGCACAGGCCTTTGTGTGCTGACAGAATTCAATATAAATGATATGCTCTTAGTAACTTAGTATTTTACTGTGTCTGCTGGGTAATTGGCTCTGGTGGATAAGTGTTTTAAGGACAGGAATTTTAATTTTTTTTAAATCCCCTTTAAAAAACACAGCTGAGTTCCTTTTGTGTTGTGTATTTTTATAAGCTGTTAAATCATTATGAAAAAGTAGATTTTAGATTTGCTAAGTATGGCTTATAACTTTCTATAGCTATGTGGCCATCTAAGAAAAATAGTGAACTACTCTTGCTAGTATTAAAATAGACAGAGGAGCTCACTGCCTTCCACTTGGTAATACTTGTATAGGTTTGGTTTGTTTGGGGCTTTTTAAGATTTGTGTTTATTGAATTATTTTTCTTGCAACATAGTTTGAAGAACATTGTTCATACCAATGTTTTAGTTATCTGCCTGGTGTTGCATAAAATTCAATATAAAAGATACAGCACCAAAACGCTTGAATACATTGTCCACTTTAAATTTTATGTATTGAAATGCTTCTTGTGTCAGCATATGGTGGTCATCTAATAATGGATACAATTCTCAGACCTTTTTTTCCCCCAGTGGATAATGTCTGAAACACAGAGTTACTGTCTAAACCCTTCTTAAAGATGTAGAGTTAGATAACAAATTTCTTAAGAACAACAGACAGTATAGGCTGGATAGGCCAGTATAAATTTTATAATATGTGATTGAGCTTTATTGAAGCTTCACTTATTAATTTGTTGTTAAGTATTGTTGGGTAATGTATTTATTTGTCAGGCAGCATTATTAGTTACTTCATAAAGCGTGGTAAGCTCTTGAAGGAAACTATTAGCATTTTGCTGTCCCAGGATTTGGTGTCGCTGTTTGAGTCATTGCGTACCAGATAGGATACTGAATGACCTCTGAGTCTTCAGAATGATTCATCAACAAGTACTTCACTTGTCTTCCAGACTAAAAAACATGTTATTATTTCTCTTTTGGATTTAGGAAAGTTTTAGGCCATCTTTTGAAAACCAAAAGCCTACTTGAAGGAAAAATTGCAGTATTTGCTTCCTGTAGATTGTAGATATAATCTGGTCTCCTACATCTAGGGTTGAGGTATCCAGCTATTTGAGCTACTGTCACACCATATATCCCCTTCACTTAATTCCCCACCATCACCTTGGAAGTCTTTTACCACTGTGGTGAGCCATCATAATGCTGTGTTATGCTAAATATGCTGCTGGAAGATAAATTGACTTAAAATATAGCTCCATGTCTTAAAACTTTTGATCCAAATCAGTCTTATCCACAGCTGTTCTAATAAAGAAAAGTATTATTTCAGTTTACATTCTATAATGTCAGAGGAATAGAAGGCAGACCATTGCAGCTTGCTTTTTATGTTTTGAAGTTTTGGGGATGTTCCTCACCATTCTTGCCTATGGAAATGAGGCTAACGATAAAGAGGAGAGCCAGAGGCTACTGAGACATGGATCTGGAGTGAAAATGCAATAGATGCAATTTTAATTATTAATTAGTAAAATTAATTATTTTTTCTATGTGATTAAGGGGAAAAAATGAGGCAGGGGGTGGGGGAGGAGACTGAAACAGGATATAATGTCAAGGGAAATAACATAGGGAAGAAGGATAGCTCAAAATCAAATTGTGTATTAAACCCAAAATCTTTAGTCTTTATGTATAAAATTTCATTATTAAGTAGCTATTAATCATCATGAACTTGGAAGCACTGTTAAGAAAACATGCATTCTGTTTGGTGATGGAAGATTAATTCCTACAAAAAAATCCCAACAAGATAAATTTTTCCCCTGTATGATTGTAAAATTTCAAGAGTATCTTTTTCTGTTGGCTTCTTAATGCAACATCTTTTCAGATTATCTGTTTGGATGTGTGTATGAGATGTAGTGTTCTAAATGAATGTTCTGAACCAGCTATAAACTAGTTGAGCAAATGATGTGTGCATGGACAGCATTAATGTGGAAGCGTACGAAATTGCTTAATGCAGAGAAGTGTGCACAACATAGTAATGTGTTGTGGTTTTTTTCCTGCAGATGCCCTCCTCGAACTTTTTTGCCAGCACTGTGCAAAATTTTTCTTGATGAAAGTGCTCCGGACAATGTACTGGAAGTAACAGCTCGTGCCATAACGTATTACCTGGATGTATCAGCTGAATGCACTCGTAGGATTGTGGGAGTGGATGGAGCTATCAAAGCACTTTGTAATCGTTTAGTAGTTGTTGAACTTAACAACAGAACGAGCAGAGATTTGGCTGAGCAATGTGTGAAGGTAAGTATACTTAAGAACCTCTTGTTTTTTAGAAGGAGTTGGATAATTTGCTATTTCCAGAGTATCCTCATATTGCAATTGTATTTTTTTAATTAAAATTTGATGCAAAACCAGACTACAACAAAAGTGCACATGCTGACACTGCTGCTTATCCTTACTGTCAGTCAGGTGCTCTTCACAGCTTAATTTTCTTTAAAAAAAATATAGAAAAGGAAACAAAAAATATTAGAAGAAATTTCTTGTTTATCTTGTATGACTAGAATGCTAATAGAATGCCAAGGCCTATTTTTATGCTGCTGAAGAAATGAAGAATTGCTCCAGATGCAGATAAATTGCCTGGTTAAATAACTGTCTGCTTCTTCTTCTATAGCACTATATATAGCTCCCCTTCACCCTTGTAAAGTTTTTAGAGAAATTTAGAAGACCCTTACAATCTCTGATTTAAAGCGTAACTCATGGCCATGTGGTAGCATATATTTGGAGTTCTTGATTACCATGGCATCAGAATTTATGTATTATTTCCTATTTGCTATTTCCAGTCGACTCAGAAGTGCATCACTGGGTGGGGTAACAGTGCTCTTACAAGTTTCAAAATTCTCAGTTGTGTGTTTCTCCCAGGGTGAGAGATTATTAATTACCTGTCTTCAAGGACACCTGTTATGACCATGCCTTTGGGGGATGTTCTTGTATTGGCTCCCATATTTTTGAAGAAAGCTGTAACCACTAACTAGTAGAGTATTGGAAACTTTGGCCCCTTCTGGGTGTTGAGGAAGAGAGGGAATTTTCTTTTTTCCTGTTGTTTCATTTTCTTAACCAGTTGTGTAGATGGATATAAGTATCTGACTATGGATATAAATAACTGACTTTTTGTGTATACTTCATTCAAATTAAATTTCTTTTTGGCGTAGGTGTTAGAATTAATCTGTACCCGTGAGTCAGGAGCTGTGTTTGAAGCTGGAGGGTTGAACTGTGTTCTGACATTCATTCGTGACAGTGGACACCTTGTTCATAAAGATACTTTGCATTCAGCTATGGCTGTAGTATCCCGACTGTGTGGCAAAATGGAGCCTCAGGATTCTTCATTAGAGATTTGTGTGGAATCACTGTCTAGTTTATTAAAACATGAAGACCATCAGGTAATGTAATAGTTGGCTCAATGTGCTATGAATTAAACTTTCAGTATGTTTAATAAAGGAATGAGTAGGTAACTTTATACAGCCTCCCTAGCTGTATGTTTATATAGAAGTTGTTATATTTGTGTATTACAATAGTTTCCTGTATAGTTGTAATGATAAGAGAATAAAAACACTGCTTAGTGTTTGGCTCCAAGTACTGGTGTTTGAATATCATCTTATTTAACCTCTGAAAACTGTGTTGAAAAATATCCTATAACTTTTTTCAGTGCATTTTGAGGCAATTTCTGAAGTAATTAGTGTTCTATGACTGTACTTCAATCACTATAAATTTGAGTGTAAGTAAGAGGAAAAAATGAATTTGGTTTGTGTTTCTTTTGCCAAACTAAGAGAAGCAATAAAAAATATCCATGGTGAATGCTAAAGTATTACACTGGAAGCCAGCCTAAATGATACTAGCAGAAATGCTGCTCCACTTCTTTGTTGCAGTTTTACTGAGATGAAGTAGTCCTTGCAAAATCTAGAAAATGAATCCCAGAGGAATTATCTTTCTACTAGTAGAATCTTGTTGTGTATGTCATGGTAATGCTCAGGAATAGCCATTTAGCCAAATTCTTGCTGTAGCCTGGCCAGGCTTCTTGTCCATACTCAGAGCTGAGTCCCCATTTCACTCTGACCTCTGTCCTCATTCCTTTCTCTACATGCACAGATCCAGCCTCCAGTCTAGTTTATTATGCACAGCATATTTGGGAAACTAAATCTTTCTGCCTGTGAGATAGTTTTTTTAAAATATATTTTTAGATCTTAAAATTTTTCAAGGGGCTGTCGTACACTAGCCATTTCAGAGCAAGCTATCATGTTTTTAGCCATTAAATAATTTTATTAGTACACTAATCATGTGAGGCAAGGTAATACTGGAATTCAGACCATTAAGTCTTAATGTAGTGTTTTAACTGTTTTCTAGTTTATATGGTGTTAGAGAAAAGCATTTGCTGGGGCTGTTGGAGAGGTGAATGAGAGTTCAAATTAACTTAATTGTTCAGCTGTTAAAGATAAGCATGCTTAAGATGGGACCTAGATGACAGAGAATAAATCTATAATGGTGTCCTTGAGAAATATGTTATATATTAAACAAGCCTCAGGATTACAGTGGGTGTTGGATGTGTATTATGGATTTGTCCATTTGTCCCTTTTCAAGTTTGTCGCTCCCTACTTTGTCATTTTATGCTGTTGGGTTTGGTGACTTTTTGTGTGGCTGCCAGTTAGTAACACCACTTGATGGATGAGTTCAGACCAGATGAATATGTCCCCAAGATCAGCTTATGTATAATTTTGGGGTTTTAACCTTAGTGTTGAGAGAAGAAATGTAAATTCTTTCTAAGTACTCCTTTGGTTTCTAAACTGATGCCACTAATGCAGTGTGTTAAACAAGTGAACTTCGTTGTGTATTTCTGACAGCTGTTAAGGTAAAGATCTATGGACTATCTGCAAATTGCATAAAGATTGGTGGAATTGTTTATCTGTGTTGTCAAAGAACTGGAGCAAGATGCCAGAGGACACAACAGTGATTATTACACATTAAAGAAAAAAATCTTGTGCAAAAGAGTACTGATAATGCAGAATGTTTGGCATGTACAGACCATACCAGAAGTCTGCAAACTTAATGGAAATTTAAGAATTTTGTCTTCATGAAGTCTGGCTAGTACTCTAATCTTGTTTTGTGTGTAGTTGAATAACTATCTTGAAGTCCTTGGTCTGTGATAGCAGACAGTTTGAAAACAGACTGCTGAGTTCACATTTTGGGGAGTAAGAACTAGTAGTGGTTCAGTATTTGGTTAGAGAATAGGTAATGTGGGTTTTTTTCTTGCTATTAGTAGTCTGGTTTGCTACTGCACATCTTTAAAGGCAAATGTGCCTGAAGCAAGTTCTCTCAATTGGCCAGTACAAACCTCCTGATCTGAAAGACTGAGACACTTCTAGTGTATAGATAGAGAGATATTAAAGGCAAAACCTTCCTTTATTTTTAGTATTGACATGAAGAAATGTTGGATCCTTGCCTGGGCACTTTGCCAGCAGTATTTTTTTCTGGATTGTTAAGAGGATCATCAGTAAGCCTTGATTCCACAGTGTCACTGGCGTTTTTTATGTGTGGTTGGTTGGTTGGATTTTTTCCTCCCTTTAGTGACAAACCTAGATTTGGAAGTTTGTATTTTATTGTCACAAAAATTCTTGCATGTTCCTATGTCAGGTGCTTAATGGATAATCAGAGTTATCCAAGAGTAAAAGATTTTTTTCCCAGTTTGTCCTATTTTTAGGCTTGGTCCAATTGAAAACTTTCTTGTGCTTAAGAGAAATATGTAGACCTTTAAATCTAACTTGAAGGATTGAGCTTCATGTGAAAATCAAATTCTCATGTATGTCCTGTATTATTGTGGATATCCCCTTAACATCTTCTCATCTTAAGTAAAAGATACTTCATTGTTTTTTCTTGCACGTCTTTCTTAGGTTTCAGATGGAGCTTTGAGATGCTTTGCTTCATTAGCTGACAGATTCACACGGCGTGGAGTTGACCCAGCCCCATTAGCTAAACATGGATTAACTGAGGAGTTGTTATCTCGCATGGCAGCTGCTGGTGGGACAGCCTCAGGACCATCTTCAGCTTGCAAACCTGGACGGAGTAGCACTGGAGCACCATCTACAGCTGCAGACTCTAAATTAAGTAATCAGGTGTCAACTATTGTAAGCCTGTTGTCAACCCTGTGTAGAGGCTCTCCAGTAGTAACACATGTAAGAAATCCTTTTATGCTACAGCTTTTTGTTTTCATGAGGCTTTTCCCATTGTATACTTCAATATATGCAAGACTTATGTTGGTATTTTATAGCTAGATATACATATATGTATTTATAGCTTTTATTTTTTTGTAGATATATATATATACATACACACACAGACACATTCATACACACACATGTACATGTAAGTTATTTTTAAAAAGGGGAAAAAGGGAACATTTCATATGGAAATGAAATCCAATTCTGATAGTATTTTCTAAAGCCCTGTATATTTTTTATTGTTCAGACTTTTAATTATTTCCAGGATCTCCTAAGATCTGAACTTCCAGACTCTATAGAAAGTGCGTTGCAGGGTGATGAGAGATGTGTACTGGATACCATGCGGTTAGTAGATCTTCTTTTGGTGCTACTGTTTGAAGGCAGAAAAGCCCTGCCAAAATCTAGTGCTGGATCTACAGGCAGAATCCCAGGATTGCGAAGACTGGATAGTTCTGGGGAACGTTCTCATCGGCAACTGATAGATTGTATCCGTAGTAAGGACACTGATGCACTGATAGATGCGATTGACACAGGAGGTAAGCAAAAACATTCTGAAAAGCAAAATGAGATGCTTGCTTTATCTTTGATTTTTATATTCTGAGGTGTCATAACATCTGAGGTAGTTCATTGAAAATCATTATATACAAGTTTGCTTACTTTGTTAAATACTCAACAGGTCTTGTTAGTAATCATACCTATGCCACCTTTTTTTATTGCAGTTAAGAGCATAAATGCTTCTCCAGAATTGAGGACACTTAATTTTTTTAAGAACTGCTTTTTATTTAAAGAATACTGCTGAACTTTAGTTTATAGTTGTGAGAACTTTAACTATTTTATTTAATTTTGTCTTTCAGCTTTTGAAGTAAATTTTATGGATGATGTAGGACAAACTCTTTTAAACTGGGCCTCAGCTTTTGGAACTCAGGAAATGGTAAACTAGGTTTATAGACCCTTAAGAAGTTGCATTATTTATGTAAAGGAAGATAAAAAACCTATTTTCCTCTTTCTTGTCTAACAGGTAGAATTCCTCTGTGAAAGGGGTGCTGATGTTAACAGAGGTCAGAGGTCATCCTCATTACATTATGCAGCATGTTTTGGAAGACCTCAGGTAGCAAAGGTATGATTTAAACTGACACTTAAAAAGCATTACCTGCTCATTTTTCATCTTGTTCTTTTCAAATGTCAGTGCGATATGCTGGATGCATGCGCTGTCAAATTTTTACATATTCTTTACAGTGTTTATCAAAACACAGATTTTTTGTTATAGGGCACTAATGAATAAAGGTAGTTTATATTAGCTCTATGGATATAAAAAGCACACAATACTTACAAGCGTGAGAAGACTGTATAAGTGATGTATGAAAAGCACATTTGCTACTTTGGAAGAAAAAATCTTAATATTTTTTAATACATAAAAATATTTGCTCTCAGACTCTCTTACGACATGGTGCAAATCCTGATTTGAGAGATGAAGATGGGAAAACTCCTCTGGACAAAGCTCGGGAAAGGGGGCACAGTGAAGTAGTAGCTATTCTTCAGTCTCCAGGTGAGTGCAATATTTAAGTCCATAACACTTGCTATAGTAGAATTGCTGATATATGTTAAGTTATGCAGTTAGTAGAATTTTGCTCTATTACGGTTATTAAAAAAAAATAAATCGTGACCTACCTTCCTGAACACATAAAGTATGCATAAAAACCTTAGCATTTTAAGATGTTGTTAAGTGAGGGGAATTACCAAGGAAGTAACTGAGTGGGCACGAACAGTGTGAGTTGTCCTGCTCTTCAGCTATGGGATCTGCCTAGACTGGGATCTTGTTATGGATTCTGAGCACGTCAGCCTTGGTAGCTTCTCTGGTATCTTTCTTTCTGCATGGGAACTGCACTTTCCGTGTTCCTGAGGATTTTGGTGCCACAGGTGATGCTTGCTATTAAATATTTTATTCAAAGTCACGCACTTGTACATTTTATATTTTTAGGAATGCATATTCATGTTCAGGTACTTGGATATTAGTAAAGAAAACTTGGATGTTTTGAAAGAGTTTTTGTTTGGTTTGTTGACTTTTGCAATTGAATATATTGGGCGAAAAAAATTTTCCAGGAGATTGGATGTGTCCTGTCAACAAAGGGGATGAAAAGAAAAAGAAAGATGCAAACAAGGATGAGGAAGAATGTAATGAACCCAAAGGAGATCCAGAAATGGCACCCATATACTTGAAAAGACTATTGCCTGTGTTTGCACAAACATTTCAACAAACTATGTTGCCTTCAATAAGGTAATATTATCATGAGGGACAATTTCTTAATACTCTTTAAAAAGCCAAAGTAAATCTAAAAGTAATGCTAGTGACAGTGTATGTTAGAATAGAAGTGGTTGCTTGGAAAGTGTTGCAAGAATGATTTTTACTTAGCATTTTAATGAGCATTTTTTCCTTTCTGGTGAAGTGATTTGTTGGAAAAAACCTGGTTAGTGACGGGAGAGCAGAGCATACTCTTGACTGTAGCAGCATGATGAAAGAATGCTCTATTCATGTAGTCTGTTGTCAACACTGTGCATCAGGATTTGGTTACAATTGTTTGTACCCACTGTAATGAAAGTTGTGATTTAGTAGAGAAAAACTACTATAATAACATTATATCAAGATGCATTCATTGGAAAAATCAGTGAGACTAGAAAAAGCTGTTATAGAAGGTTTTAGAAGATTGACTTAACAGCGTATTAACTGGAGATGATGTTCCTTGTAATTCTGTTGAATTGCAAAAATATAGTCTAATTTATTACTTAAAAGGGAATACTGTGCATGGCATAATGGTTGTGATAAATTGGATCTGATCATAACCTCTTACCCTTTTATACTATAAATGACATTTATTCCAATCTCTTATTTGTGTTCCCAGTGTATACAGGTACTTTGGGTGAAAACGCAAGATAAGAAAGGCCTCTAGTGGAGCCAGACTCCACGTGAGCTGATGATAGAAAGCTTAAACTAGGTCATTTTAAATAAAAGAAATAAGAAACTATGTTAACAGTTTATATATGATTAATTGTTGTTGCAGATTGTGCAAAGAAGTAGTTGACTCTCAACTTGAAAATTATCTTGATGAATCAGAAAAATTGTGGTTTTGGAAGTCAGTCAAAAAATTAATCTATAGCCCTACAGGAGTGATTTTCTTTTAGATTTATTATGGTTCTTAGTGTGGAAAGCTGCATGATCTAATAGTATGTTTAGAGTTAAAAGTTATAGGGATTTTGAAACATAAGAAATATATTACTAAAATGAAAGGCTGAATACCTCTGAGGGTGACAATGTGCAGAAGTGAATTGCCAGCACTAAAAGTTGATAAAGGCAGGACATAGATTAGGTTTACCTAGGGAAGGGTTGAGGAGAAAAGTGTATGTTAGACTGATAATGCTGTAGAATCAAAAAGTACCAGAGGTGCATTATTCTTAAAGATAATCTAGTATTTAGTAACAATAGCAAATTTTTGTACCAGTAACAAGAACTGAAACAGATTAAATTTCACGTGTTTTGAAACCATGCATAAATAGAGTACAAAAGAAGTCTTATCTTGAACCTTTTTGTTGCTTTGATTATTGCTTGCTTTATCACTATATGAACCTTTCTTTTTCCTGCAATCTTTTAAAGGAAAGCAAGTCTTGCGCTCATTAGAAAAATGATACATTTTTGTTCTGAAGCGCTGCTGAAAGAGGTTTGTGACTCGGATGCTGGCCACAACCTGCCCACAATACTGGTTGAGATAACAGCTACAGTGCTTGATCAGGAGGTAGGCAGAACGAAAATGTTATCCTTTATGAAACCAGTACAAAAAAAGGGAGTTATACTCATTGATTCCATGTATTTGTTGATAGCTAACCCTAAAACCTTCACAGTGTCCATCTGTGACCACTTGTGCAGTTCAGTGTGTAAAGTAACAAGATCTCCTTTGTTATTTTCTTTTCATCCCAATGTATTACAGGATGATGATGATGGCCATTTGTTAGCCTTGCAAATCATAAGGGATTTAGTGGATAAAGGTGGTGATCTTTTTCTAGACCAACTGGCTAGACTTGGTGTAATTAGTAAAGTGTCAACTTTGGCGGGGCCATCATCTGATGATGAAAATGAAGAGGAATCTAAACCTGAGAAGGTAAGTGTCTGGAATTGATTTGCTTTATTTATTAGTGTAAAATTGACACTTCTAGTAAAATGTTCATTGTTACAAAAATGGCAAGGGAGTTAAGATATTAAATTAATACTTATTTTATACCACTTGTTTTAATGATTTTCTTCTCTACCTTCTTCTTCTGTTAGCATATTATTATCTGCTTAGCTTTCCTATTCATACTTCCTTGTGGCTGTTTGGTGCTTGATTTTGTCTAGTGTTTGGAAAATGGCTGATAAACAAAATGAATCCCTCCTGAAGTATTTGTGTCAGAAGTGTATCTCTTTCGATGTTCATGGATTAAATAATTCCAAATGTTTTAAATGTTATTATTACTTATATAAAAAAGAAAATAATTTTCTGCTTAATGAAAACCTTAAGTGCATATTGAAGTTATTTATCAGTTTCCAAGTCTTGTTGCCAGTCAGATGAACTGAATGGATAACAGACTTCTTCTGTTACCAATTCAATTATATTTATAGCTAAAAATCTTAAGTATGTAGTTAAACTTTTTTACTGTGAGGTTTGGCTTGTCTGGGGTTTCTTGGGGGAGGCACTGATTTTGTTTTTTAGAGATTAGATATTAAAAGTCATATGGACATCTTCCTAGATAACCAATCATATCTGGCCCTGCCTGAGAAGAGGTTTGGGCTAGATGGCTTTCAGAGGTTTCTTCCAACCTCAATAATTTTGTGATTCTTATCTTACAATTCAAGTTTTGAAAAGAGGTGGATATTATAGGCAGTAGACTGTTGTTATTGTTGAGTAGATAAAGCTGTATGTAAAAGGAAATGTTTAAGAAGTATCTTATTCTATTAAAGGATACTTTCAAGGATATGTTTTACTGGCAGAAGTAGTATAGTTTCTACACTTTTGGTCCTAAAGACAGAGCATCTCCTCCTTTTAAAAATGTCTGGGTTTTTTGTGTTGGGGTTTTTTTTGTTTGTTTGGGGTTTTTTTTCCCCCTTTTTTTTTTAATGGATTGGAGATTTTTTTGGTTCTTGTTTTCGCTTAATACAATGTTGTTACAGGAGGATGAACCACAGGAGGATGCTAAAGAACTGCAGCAGGGTAAACCATACCACTGGAGAGACTGGTCAATCATTAGGGGAAGGGACTGCCTGTATATCTGGAGTGATGCTGCAGCCCTGGAGCTATCTAATGGTAGTAATGGATGGTTCAGATTTATCTTGGATGGGAAGCTGGCCACAATGTATTCCAGTGGGAGCCCTGAAGGAGGATCCGATAGCTCAGGTAGACTTTTTGCATTTCAAGTCCAAGTTAAGTTTTAAGACCGTTACATTTGTTTATATAATTTGATTTGAGCTATTTTGTTTTGCAGGAATTGGCTTACTAAATAGTAAAGGATGTAAACAGGTGGAAGGTGGTCAGTTAATTGTGATGCATTTTATCAGATAGCATGTGGCCATAACTTGACTTTCTTGGTGAATTGTGTTAAGTAAACATCTTGCCAGTAAAAGCGTATTAACTTTTTGTTTTGATTCTTCTCCATGCGTACTTAATTTTTTCACCCCAGTCATTAAAAGCACTTTGTAGTGGCCATCCCAGGAAAAGCAGGTTGAAATGGTGATTTGTTGTTTGCTTCTAGCTAGCAGAATGAATTTGCATGTGTTTGAAGACAAAGTAATGGAAAGTTTCTCATTGAGATTGGGAAACAAATTACAGTGTCTTAATTGTTTGTTGGAGAGAGGATAAGGGAACAGACCTTATGCACTGGCAATGCACAGGTGGTTCTGGTTTTCTGTACAGAATACACAACTTGTTCTGGATGCAGAAACAACCCTTTTATTGTTTAATCTTTTTTTGCAGCAGTTCATGCATTTATGAACCTGCAGACATAAAATGCTTTGCAATATTATGTTTTCAATGAGCCATTGAGTGAAAAAACAGAACATATTATGATTCAGGATGGAAGTGAAGTGCTAATGACTTCATGCATCAAATTTGGGGCAAGAAGACAAAATGCAATATAATGTTTCTGATTATAATGCAGCTGGAAACCACTTAGAGATTTATTGGGGTTTTTTTTGTCAGAAAATGTCTTTGCATTATTTTTAATAAGGCTAATGCCTTAAGAGGTAAACAAATCTGTGTTGAGACACTTGTTTATCATACAATACAATTTAAAGGAGATTCATGAAGATTTTTTTTTTTTTAATTCTCATAGTTCCTGGATGCCAAAGATTTTGGCTTTTGCTTCCAAATGGGCAAGGGGATAAGACTATTTCTGTATAAGATGAGTGAAATGGCAACAGCTCAGATGAATTTGGAGTGTAGAGAACTTGAAAGAGAATAAGTCAGATTGAGCATTTAAGATATTACTTCAAATCAGTCTTTTGAAAAATATTGAATAAATTTAACAAAATACTTAGTCTGACTATCATGAGGGAAAAGAGCTAAATGTAGGATTAAATGAGGCTTCTTGCAATATGTAGTCAAATAGACATCTACTAAGATTGCTGATGTTGCAGTGTAATTTGCCTGAACTTTAACCATGAGCTCTAAGCATGTGCAGCAGCCATTTTACTTTAAAAAAATTAATATTTGTTAACTAAAATGACTACAGTACAGTATAGACTCAGAACAGTATCTTTAAGTCCTGAACTGTACTATATGTTCTGCTGTCCTAAATCATTACTGATTAATCTCGTGGTATACTTTTTAGTAACTTCACAACTGGCAAGAATATAGAGGGTTGAGTAGTGGAATCTGTTAGTGTGTATTGCATGATGGAAGGTTGGGGTGGGTGGTCAAGTATATATACTGTGAACATTTTGGAAGGTCTGTACTCACCCCTCTCCACATTAACTCTGTACTTGTTTTGTTTGAATTTTTAGAAAAAAGATTCAATGCAAAAATTGAAATTTAATGGTAATTCTGAAGCATTAAATGAGTCTCAAAATTCTGTCCAAGGAAACCTGAAGTAGTTCCCAAACATGTAGAAATCTAGTACTTTCAGTGCAACATGCTATATAATAAATTTATTAAAATGTAATTATGGAAGTCTGAAAACATTTAATTAACAAAATCTTCACCGTGCATATCAAATCTCAATTGATCAAATCTGTGTATACTAAGAAATTTAAGCAATAAAGAATGTTATGCCTCAAGTGCATATTTATTTTTGCATTAATTTGTATTATTAAAAAAGAGGCAGATTTAAAAAGCGTAGAGCTTGTCATTGCAGAAAAAGGCAAGCAGCAATAATCTTTAATGAGGTGTTTCCATTTTTACTTTAAATGGAATTTTTGAAAAGTTATGTACTTAGCCTTTTAATGATTAATTATTTCTGAAAACTGAAAACTCACTTTTGAGAATAGTTCTTGCTGGCCATTCTGAGACCCATTTTTCAAAGACTAAAAATTTATACTGAATTTCTTTGATCTTCCTATTATACTTGTAATGGTGAATGAATACATCTGGATTGCATCTTTCAGAAAGAGTTGCATTGTTGCATTGCAGCTTCGATGCGATCATAGAATAAATCAATGTTGAAGTACAGAAATATACTACACTGATATTTAGGACACTTTAAGACCCTTAATTTCAAACTTAATTTTGCATTGAATGTACTCAGTTGTTTTGCTCTTGAAAAAAAAATAAGCTACATAATGATGGAAGCAGTTGTTGGAAGAAAACAAATTTGTTTCTTTTTAAATAGAAAGTAGGAGTGAGTTCCTTGAGAAGTTGCAGCGAGCTCGAAGCCAAGTAAAACCATCTACCACAAGCCAGCCAATTTTGTCAACACCAGGGCCAACTAAACTTACTGTAGGAAACTGGTCACTGACCTGTTTAAAAGAAGGAGAAATTGCTATTCACAATTCTGATGGTCAGCAAGCTACAATACTGAAAGAAGACCTGCCAGGCTTCGTGTTTGAATCCAACAGAGGAACAAAGCATTCATTTACAGCTGAAACTTCCTTGGGTAAGTATGTAGGTATGTGTTATGTGCAGGTAGGAACAAGCGTATATGAGGCAGTTTTATTTGTTGCTTTTCATAGCAGTGAGAAAATGCAACTTTTCTAAAACATATATTGCAGGGTCAGAATTCGTGACTGGCTGGACAGGCAAAAGAGGAAGAAAGCTGAAATCTAAACTGGAGAAGACAAAGCAAAAGGTTTGTGAGCATCTGTAAATTTTATATTTAGAATACCATTTAGAATTGTAGTTTCCTTTTAGAGGATTAAAATCTCTGATTTCAGATAGATACAATTTTATGTGAGACTTGAAGGGGAAAACTTAAATCAGAACAAAACACTTCTTTGGGTGATATTATCCAACAGTCCTAGTAAACTTTTTGCTCCTTTAAAGGAAAATACATTAAAAAAAAAAATAAATAGGAAAATCCAATCTTCCTGACTTGCATTTGTGTAATTCTTTAATTTTTGTGGTTTGTTTTTTGTCTTTATGCTACAAGAAGAGATGTTATAACACAGTTGTACCAGAGGCATATAATACTTCTGTTCATCTGGGTACTAATTTCAGACTGGATATTGTGACAGGGTGCTGGAAGTGAACAGTCTGCATTGTTAAGAGTTGTGGTAGTGAAGCAAAATGAGTAAACACCCACAAATTTGATAACTTTAAAATTCTCCTTTCTCCTCAAAATGAAGGGGAAAAAAGAGGAACTAAGAAGTCAAGTATTAAGCACTTTACAGAAAACCCACAAAATAACAGTACATTTTGTGATCCTCTTACGCCAAAGACTCAGGCCAATCTTTAGTCTTGGAACTGTCTTGCAGTTTCTAACAGTGCAGCCAATATATTCTATACCTTGTATCTGCAGCATTTAAGGGACATATATCTCAGGAAATGTGACACTAAATTAAAAGTTGAAATACTGTGTGTGAATGATAATAGGTGGGATGATAAAAGAAAGGCAGTGCTCTCTTATACCTAAGATTGCACTGTGTAGTTCTGAAGCTTGTGTAATGTATTGTAGCATGTAGAGTGATAATCAAAAGGAAAGATTTTTGGGGAAATTTCTCACAAAAGAGAGACGTTGTTTAATAAGAACTCATTTAATCTGTATCTTGTGTGAACTGTACACTGTAGAAAGAATAATTCATACTATAAGAGGTTGTATGGGGATTTTGTGTGAATTGGTTTAAGGAATGTAGATAAAGCATTCAGAAACCATATTAAATCTGCTTAATTTTACATTTAAAAAGATTATGTGACCTATGATACAGTTCTAAAAGAAAGATTGACAGATTGAGAATCATACCTTTTCTTATTACCCATTATGCTTTAACTTAGTACCTAATGGTAAATTTAATTTCTGTCAATAAGATTTTGTATATTTTCATTTATTTCTCCTGTTCCTTTTTCCTTCCACAACCTTTGCTATTTCATGATGCACATGGGTTTTTATTCTTCCCTATTTGTCTGCCTGTTATTTATTCTTCCCTATTTGTCTGCCTGTTATGGACTTGCTAAAAAAGAAAATAAATAAATAAAAATGACCAGGGTTGCAGTATCTGGGAGTATAGTAACAGTCTCATTACAGGAAGGTTTGATTTCTGATTATCAAAATCCATTTGTAGGTACGCACTATGGCAAGAGATTTATATGAAATCATATAATGTTTAGACCAGTCTGTCATGATGGGAAGAAGAGTCACAGCACATCTTAAAGTGGAGGGTTTTAATGCATGTATTACCTAGTTTGGTACATCCCTAGGATGTTATTTTTTAACTGAAGCGAGTGGACAGATTACTATGTTTCACAATAATCATCTTTTTGTCTTTCAGTGCATTGAGGGAGAAAATACTTGGAGAGATTTAATGAAGACTGCTCTGGAGAACTTAATTGTACTGTTGAAGGATGAGAATACTATTTCTCCGTATGAAATGTGCAGTAGTGGCTTAGTTCAATCACTTCTGACAGTTTTAAACAATGTGAGTTTATGGACATAAGTGTTTAAAAAAAAACTTCCTAAAAAAATGAAATTAAGCCATGTGCCATAATTTAAAAGGTCTGTTATATATCTGTCATTTTCTGTCATAGTGAAAATTGGCAAGACTTGCTCCAGTTACTGGTCTACCTATTGAAGATAAGCTGTCACAATACATTACTTAAGTTTGAATGAGCCTTTAAAAATCTATAAATCAACTCTGTTCAGGTCTAGTGGCTGATGATTAGCTTTTCACATACAGACTTTAAATTGGGATTTCAGTGAGATTACATAGATGTTTTTGTCTGTATAAAAACTAAATAAATAATGTTAAATGTAACTTTTTTTTTTCCTCTTAGAATGTTGATTTGGATGTGAAACAAGACTGTAGTCAACTGGTAGAGAGGATAAACGTTTTCAAAACAGCATTCAGTGAAAATGAGGACGATGAAAGGTAAAAATAATACCAAACCAAGAAAATACCCTTTGAAATTGTGAAGCAGTATGGTATGTTTAAAAAAATTTAAAGACAAAGTAGCAATTGAAAATTTTTATCTCTAAGAGTCAACCTATAGAACACTGTGCTGTAACCATGTGACTAGAACAGCTACTGTCAGTAGAAATAGCCTGCTGAGATACTTTCCTCAACTGGATCCCTTACTGAGATACTGTAGAATTTTTTTCTGTTTTAAGGTCACATAGTAACTGTTCTCTTTCACAGTCGTCCAGCTGTTGCCTTGATTCGGAAATTGATAGCAGTGTTAGAATCTATTGAACGTCTACCTCTCCACTTGTATGATACACCAGGGTCTACGTATAATCTCCAGGTAAATACACAGTGATAACAGCATATCACACTGAGTGGTGCACAACTGAAGGTTGTATGTCGCACACCTTGCTGCAAGAATCACGTTCTTGTAGATGTGGATAGAATTAGGTAAAGAACAACCAAATTTTGGTATCTATGTCCTCTTAACACTTAAATGCACGGCTATTCCTCTACTATCACTTCAACACTGGGAAGTAAATGTTGCTTGAAGTGATTATGTGTTTGTTCTTTATTCTGTCTTTTGATATTGTTGTCTTTATATAGGAACATGCCCTCTAGTTAAAGGCCATGTTACTTTGATTACAAGACAATTATTAGTAAGAACGAAGGGATAGGCTTTAAAGGGTCCTGTTTGGCTCTGTTCAATTGGTAATGCAAGATGCCTCCAGGCTCAGATGCTTCCTATACAGGAAACTTGGCAGTTTGGCTATAAATATTACTTGTTTTTTCCCAGTTTGTGTGGAGTCTTAATTTTTTCTTAATTTTTTATTTTTGAAAATAGTTTTCCATTTCTATATTATTGTATTTGCTAGTCAACAAATGAAAGCTATGAAAACATAGAAAAAGTGAGAAAATGTCAGCTGAGTGTGTAATTAACTTACACATTGTCATAGTAAAGAATTGTTTGCTTGAAATTGAAATTGAAAAAAGGTAGTACATTACATAGAAAAAGCATTTCATTAGGATATAGTGCTTAAGTTAGAGCAACAAAGATACTTGATAGGCCACTAAAACAGTTGTAGTGAAATACACTGTTTTTATTAAAATTCCAAAACCTAAACAGAAAAGCCCATATTAATGTTTAGCTGTTCTTTCAGATACTGACAAGGCGCTTGAGGTTTCGTTTGGAACGTGCCTCGGGGGAGACGTCTTTAATAGATCGAACTGGTAGAATGCTGAAGATGGAGCCATTGGCAACTGTTGAGTCTCTAGAACAGTATCTCCTGAAAATGGTGAGCTGCATACCACACATGGAGTTCACAGAGAATAGTTATATTCTGCTTCTTTAATATTTGGTTTCTTTTCTTTCATATGTAGGTAGCAAAGCAATGGTACGACTTTGATAGGGCTTCATTTGTTTTTGTACGAAAACTGCGAGAAGGCCAGACATTTGTGTTCAGGCATCAACATGATTTTGATGAAAATGGGATTATTTACTGGATTGGAACGAATGCAAAGTGAGTTTTTCAAAGCTAGGTATTTTATAGTCAGACATAATAAACTATAATCCATGAGGCAGGATGGGGACAAAGAATTAATAATGAAATTAAATCTGTTATTTTCTTAGAAGTGGAAGGTATCTTTTAATCAATAGGATTACATTTCTTTTGGATCTGCTTGAATAATGGAAAAATATGAATCACTTATGCTGAGAATTTGTTTCTATGCTTCCCTAAGAAGATGAATGAGTTGGGAGGTTTGGGTCTTTGTTTTCGCTTGCCATGGTTCTGTTTGATTTTGTTGGTTTGGGTTTGGTTTTTTTTAACCTTTGCTACAGTGTTTTAAAAAACTCAAACAAAGTGTTTTTTGGAACATATCTAAAGTTATCTAATTATCTAAAATTGTATTCAGTTATGTTCAAAATATATTGAATGCAATTTAAAAATGTCAAATGTTGCTGAAACGAGGTTTTTTTTTTTTAATTTAAGTAATAATTGAACGGTATATTTCTCATTTTAAATACAGAACTGCATATGAGTGGGTAAATCCAGCAGCCTATGGATTAGTAGTGGTTACATCCTCAGAAGGAAGAAATCTGCCTTATGGTCGTTTGGAAGACATCCTGAGCCGTGACAGTTCAGCTCTCAATTGTCACACTAATGATGATAAGAATGCTTGGTTTGCCATAGATCTTGGCCTTTGGGTTATACCATCAGCCTACACATTACGCCATGCTCGAGGTTATGGACGATCTGCTCTCAGAAATTGGGTTTTCCAGGTATCTAAGGATGGACAGAACTGGACTACTTTGTATACTCATGTTGATGACTGTAGTCTCAATGAACCAGGGTATGTCAGTGTATTTTATCACTTTTCATAAAACTGAGAGCCTTTAAAAATGTATTTGACTGTAGACTAAATAAATGTGTACTGTGGTTGTAATAATGTATCTATATAAAGAGGTAAGTGATACAAATTGTCAAGGATGGGCTGGAGAAGAAGTGATAGATAGGTTCTCTGTGTGATTTACATAATGGTATTTGTGCTTTTCCATCATTGTAAATTTTGCGTTTTGTTTTTTGACAAAATCGTAACACCAACACTCAGCCAAAGTTTTCCCTGGTGTTAATAAGTTTATATATCTTGTAATATGCATACATGATCAGCGTTGTGGTTTTGTTCGCTTCAATACTAAGGTTTCTTGGTTTTGCTTTTTTTTTTTTTTCTCTTACCTACCATCACCACTTTCTAATAAACTTAAAGATCTACAGCAACATGGCCTTTAGATCCTCCAAAAGATGAGAAACAGGGTTGGAGACATGTTAGAATAAAACAGATGGGAAAGAATGCCAGTGGACAAACACACTACCTCTCCCTGTCTGGATTTGAACTTTATGGCACAGTGAATGGAGTATGTGAAGATCAGCTGGGTAAGAAAAAGAACACATATATTCTATTTGCTCTTTTAAAATGCTGATGAGCATACAATATAAAAATCAGTGTGAAAAAGGAGGTTAACTTTTGCAGTTGAACTTGCTTAGAAATAAGCTCAAAATTATTCCCCCATTCAATATTGTAAAGTCTTTTCAATTTACATTTCTTGTAGGAAAAGCTGCTAAAGAAGCTGAAGCAAATCTGAGAAGGCAGCGACGTCTGGTCCGTTCTCAGGTGTTAAAATACATGGTTCCAGGAGCTCGTGTGATCAGAGGAATTGATTGGAAATGGAGAGATCAGGATGGAAGCCCGCAGGGTGAAGGCACTGTTACAGGAGAACTGCATAATGGTGAGCATGAATTGCCTGAATTTATAAATGTCTGTTGCATGATTACATAATGCAGAATGGGTAGCATGAAAGTACTGCCTTTGTAATGCCTTGATAAAGTTAATAAAAGTTTAGGTACTTTGGAGGGAAGGAGCTTAAAATACTACAGCTGTTGGGGTCCACTTGTGAAATTCCATTTGAGTGCATGAAAAAAATTCTTGCTTTAAATGAAACTTTTATACAGCTTTAGTTAATTAAAATATTAAACTGTTATTCAAATATGAAACTGTTATTTAGACATCTATTAAAAACTATGAAGGTGAGTGATGCAAACTGATAAAATAAGCTTTGGGCCTGCAAAATCTATAATTACCTTCCTCATTTCTTCTAGCTGAGCATTTGCAATATTTTTCTTGACTTTTGTTATATCCTATACCTTTCCTATCTTGCTAGCTTCTTTGGGATCAAGTTTTGTTTTTTAAGTTAAGGCATGAAAATTTATTAACTTGTGGAGCAAAATAAAAACCTGCAACAGGCAGGGAAGTCAGTACTCAGGAAGTTAAATTATTGAATAGGCTCCAGGAGAGGTGGTGATCTTGTCATCTGAATACACTTTCCACCACTTCCCTTCTCTTCCCCCTGTTCTGAGGTATTCAAGGCTTGCCTTGTTTCTGAAGTGCCTTCAGCCACTTTTAGGTTAACTTTTAGCTAGACTTTAAAGTTTCTTCTAGTTTGAGTTTTCAGTTCTTGAACACGGAGAAATCTCCAAAGTACAATCCTTTAAAATGTTTTGAAACTGAACTTCATTTAAGCTGTTCAGTACAGCTTGTGGGGAAGTCTTCCATCATCCATATATTTTTCATATCCGATGCAACAGTATCCATAGCTACTTAATAACTTCAAGGACTTTAGGTATTATTGGTGAGTAATATCAAATGGTGATGCCAAACCATCTCATTCCTGTCACAATTTTCTTTCATATAGAATTCTGAAAATAGTATCTGTTTTACTTTTTTGGTTGTGGTTCACAAGCCTAGATAAATGTTGTTTTAGGCCTGTAATGATGGAGCAGTACAACTTTGAGTACATAATATGTACTTAAAACTTGTTTAGATTTAAAACTGCTTGTAATTAATATTTTAGGGAAAGGAACTATACAAAACAAAACCAGTTATTTAGTTACGCTTTGAAAAAAATATCTGGATCAGATATTCATAAAGGAGAAAAAATATATTGTTGAACTACAGTATAGAGCTTTTTGGTTGTATTTGATAAAAAAGGCAAATAAATCATAGAAGGAAAAAAAAATCAGATTTGCTTCACAAGTTTACCCTTCAGAGGTTTAGTGACATGAAGCTACTCAACTATAGTTGTGAAAAATGAATAAAATCATACAAAAATAACATGATTTAAACTCGCGCATTTGGGAATGAGATGCCTACTTATCATATCTGAAAACTTGGTCCATTTTTAACTACTTTTCCTGCAGAGTGATATTTGTAAATAGCAGATTGCCTGTGATCATCTGTTTCAGTCTAGGAGTGGTGATTTTTGGCTAGTTAAAAGCTGAAGGTGCACATGACAGTAATAAGAATACTTTACTTGATATTAGCTCTTCTCTGTTTTAATAAAGAAAAATAAGTGTGTATCTGGACCTGATACATGTTTTGACTTTGTCTGAGATTGCAGAAGATTACTAAACTTTAGAGATTTCATTTTTGGATGGAATGTGTATCAGTTAAAGTAGTTACACCAACATTTGTTGCAGTTAAGGTACAGTGAGAAATATTAGAAGGAATTTTTTAGGTGACTCTTAGATTGTGGTACATATTTAGACAAGTAAAAATAAATTGTTTTGCCCCCATTTCTGTCCTAGTTAGCTAAATTTTGTATGTTACCCTCATTATTGCAGACTTATTATATTTAGCTGTTAAAAATCTTTGCTACTCAAAGTAATGAAGGAGCTGAAGAGTATCATCTCTCTGGAGTCTTGTTCTCATCCCAGGGTAGTTTTTTCCTATGAAACATATTCTCTCTGCAACCCTGAAATTCTACTTGATGCAGCCCTTACCTGATTGCCATAAGATTTTTTTGTGAATGAGGAATGTTCAAGTATGTGTAAATTACTGAACTAAAAAGCTGTGTATCACTCAATTAGTTCTTTTAATTTAAGTGGTCTCAAACAAAGCAGTTTCATGACATGTCTTCTGTTGGGTTAATATGCTTATCCACAAGCATCCAACAAAGTAAAATATTATTGAATGTCCTGGTAATAATTAGAGCTTCTTGACAGATGCTAGTAAAGTTATGATACGTTTTAATATACATTTTTGTTATTAAAGAATCCAATTTTGATAGATGCTAATAAAATTTTGCGAGATTCTGGTAGGTCAGGTTCCTTCCTGAAGGAAACTTTATTTTTGGCTGGATTCTGTGACCCTGAAGATTAAGGTGGCAAGAGCAGCCTCTAAATTGACGACGTTATGAAATACTAAGGTTTAGATTTAAACACTTCCTTTTTAATTGGCGTTAAGGGTTACTTAGTGATTTCATTAATTCAGACATACAGCCCTTGTGAGAAGCTGATCCCACATTGTGGAGCTACTGTCTGACACGCCTCCTGTCTGCTTTCTGCTGGATCTCACAAACTCCTGTCCCTTTCCAGGCTGGATTGATGTCACCTGGGATGCTGGTGGCTCTAACTCTTACCGTATGGGCGCAGAAGGAAAGTTTGACCTCAAGCTTGCACCAGGGTACGACCCTGATTCAGCGGCATCACCCAAACCTGTTTCATCCACTGTTTCAGGCACAACGCAGTCATGGAGCAGCTTGGTGAAAAACAACTGTCCAGACAAGACGACTGCTGCTGCAGGCTCCTCAAGTAGAAAAGGAAGCAGCAGTTCTGTGTGTAGCGTGGCAAGTAGCAGCGACATCAGCTTGGGTTCGACCAAAATGGAGCGGAGATCAGAAAGTGTATTGGAACAAAATATAGTTTCAGGCACTGACGTCCATGAACCAATTGTTGTTCTGTCTTCCGCTGATAGTGTGCCTCAGGCTGACATAGGGTCATCCTCCAGTGCGAGCACCAGCACCTTAACAGCGGACATGGGAAACGAAAATGCAGAGAGGAAGTTAGGTCCTGAGAACTCAATACGTACTCCTGGGGAGTCCAGTGCTATATCCATGGGAATTGTTAGCGTAAGCTCCCCTGATGTGAGTTCAGTCTCTGAACTGACTAATAAAGAAGCAGCTTCCCAACGACCCCTAAGCTCGTCAGCGAGTAACAGACTTTCAGTCAGTTCTTTGTTGGCTGCTGGGGCACCCATGAGCTCCAGTGCAAGTGTTCCGAACTTATCATCTCGGGAAACTTCTAGCCTGGAGTCCTTTGTACGAAGAGTGGCGAACATAGCACGTACCAACGCCACAAACAACATGAATTTAAGCCGGAGTAGCAGCGATAACAATACTAATACTTTGGGAAGAAATGTTGTGAGTACTGCAAGTAAGTAAACTGTTTTTATTTTTAGTTGAGGATTTTTTTGTTTCTTTGACTTTTGTTACACTTGAGTTTGGATTGTGTTGGCCTGATGGAGAAAAGTACTTGACCTTGTGTGTACCTGTAGAACTCATGAAGGACTCACAGAATTTCTGTCAGCTGAAGTGTTAACATTGCCCTGTGATGTCAGATCACAGGTACCCATCAAATGGAAAGAAAATTGAAATTGATGTTGATGATGTTTAAGGAGAGAGTATGGTTTAGACCAAGAGGATGCAAGTCTAGCAATAGTAGCTAATGTCAGGTACTTACTTAGGCTTTCTGATCTGTGTAGATTTTGCATATTTCTATTACTTTGACACTTTCCTCAGGAAGGGCAGTCTGTGCATATTGTGAAGTATCTGAGCATAGGAGCTAAGAACACAATACAAAGGAAAAAGAACTACAGTACAGTGAAATGTTAGCAGATTCTTGATTCTGTCAAGCTGCATAACATAATGCGATCTAATATTGAGTGTGTTTTCTAGAGATAGTAGGGTCATTGAGGCTTAGATTAGGTGAACTGTTCAGGCATATTAAATGTGAGAAAGTTTGTAATTAGCAGTGTTTTAAATGACATTATGTACATGCTTTAACTTTTGCATGTTCTCAGATTATAAGTAGGAGCAAGGCGTTAGCAAGGTAAGTTGTTAACCTGCTTGTTTTGAGCACGCTCCCATCAAAGTTGTTACTTGATAGCTATTTTGTTCACTGATGGTGTTATTATTTTAGAGAGAGACCTGCATTTCATGGGGTAGGCAAGTTAGAAGAAGTGAAATTACCCAAGCTAGAAAACAGATATTATTGCTCTCTACAACTATCTGAAAGGAGGTTGTAATGAGGTGGGGGGCAGCCTCTTTTCGCAGGTAGGAAGTGACAGGGGAGGTTTAGGTTAGATACTAGGAAACATTTCTTCATTGAAAGGTGGTCAAGCACTGGAATGGGTGGCTCAGGGAAGTGGAATCACCATCCCTGAAAGTGTTCAAAAGTCGTGTAGAAGTGGCATCTAGGACCATGGTTTAGCAGTGAACATGGCAGTGCTTGGCTAACATCTGGACTCACTCTTTGAGGTCTCTTCCAACCTTAGCAATTCAATGACTCTATGCTTCCTTATTTAGAAATGTGGTGTTTGCTTTTAGCATTTTAAAATATTTTAAAATACTGAATGTTTTCTTTTTTTGACAGGGAGATTTTTTTTTAATGTATTCTTACATTCATGTTGTGATACTGGGGATGGGGGCGAAGTCTTTTGCAACTTGCAATGAAAATATAAATAAGATACTCAAAGAAAGCATTCCAGCAATTGATATAGACAGATAGTGGCTCTGGATCTAAAGTAGTTTTGTTTTGAGGGTAGAGAAAAGAGACCACCTTTGAAAAACATGGTAAAATACTTCAACAGCATACTTAACATTTCATGAATGTTGGATACTATACTCTGCAAAAACTAGAAATAGGAATGGGGCAACTTAAAAATTCTGTGATAAAAATAGTCATACATTATATTATCCTTCGTGTAGGAATTATTTTGGTTTATACTTTTTATATGAATAGAAACTGTAAATGGGAACTCATGTTCCTGAAAGAGATCAGAGACTAAATTTGAGCAATCTCACCAGAGTTCAATTAAAGCGTTGTAAAAAGCTTGATTTTTTTTTTTTTTTAAATTGTTTTTTTGGTTTTTTTAGCCTGTTCAGGGTAAAAAAACCTAACCAACCAAACCAAACAAAAAGCCTTTATTGTCAAACAAGCCACCCTCAACAACCCAACACCCCAAAAGTCAAGACTGAAATAATCATTAGTGAGATAAGTATTTTTGGATTTTCTGTACAGGTTGCATAGAAAACATCAGTATTTACCAGAAGCTAAGTGGTGTCTAGAGTAGCCAATTTCTATTTGCTCTTGAATTCAGAGCAAATGAAATGCTGATGCTTAATGGTTTTTTTTGTTCACTGTAACAGCAAAGAGTTTGCTGTTATTAATTAGCAGAAGGTGAAAGATGTGGATACTGAACAAGCTCTTGAACAACAAAAGAAAAACTCTTTGGTTTTTCTTTTCCATGCTTTCATAGAGAAGAACACAAGCTTATTAACAACCCTAAATTTAAACTTTGCGCTTTCCCTCACTGTTATACTGCTATTTCACACCTCCCCTGCATTGTTATATTTTTGTTTGCAAAATTTTAGCTATATTCTTAAGGGGCAGGGATCTATGTAGTAAGTATATGTAACAGAGAAGGAAAGCATTTTTTAAAGAAAGCAATTTATCAGTTTTCAATTTCATTAAAAAATGAAAATTTTTCTTTTATAACTGAAAAACTTGCATTTGATAAAGTTCAGAAAAAGTAGATTGAAAAACTTAAGACAAATTCTTACTATAGATGATCCCTCACTTTTTCCCTCCAAACTTGCGATTAGTCTTGTTTAAATATAAGAACATGTGAGAGCATGTTTTGCAGACTGGGCTATAAATGTATAGTTGCACATAGGTATAACTTAAACTCAGTTATGTACACTATCTGAAGTTATTTCTGTAGAGTCTACAGTGAATTCAGTTTTGTTTCAGTTTTTCACTAAAATGCATTTACTGTTTTATTTGAATGTACAGTAAGGTAACTTTTTAGTTGTTGCTTGCTTATTCTGAAAATTGTAAGTCATCCAACATAATTTAATAATCCAAACATAAAATATGTTTCAAAGTAGTGTCAATTCAGGCTTGTTGACTGTGACGAATATATATTTTAGTAGTTGTGTAAAAAATAGCAAGTCAGAGATGATTTAAGAACCTTAGAAAAATGCACAATAATCACAAGTTTCACATTTGTTTTGGTATGTTCTGTTCCCAATTCACTTGTTTGCACTATATGATAATGTAATTTAGATGTTAAATATCATTTTAGGCTTAAGACAGATCACAGTGTTGGAGTAAGAGATATCAGAAATTCTTTACATATGTTGAAAATGAAATTACTTAATTTCAGATTTATAGTGGGATTTGGGGGATTTGTTTGATAAAATTACTTATTTTAAATGTTTGCAAGGGAATAAGCTCAGAAGTGGGCATCTGTATTGTAAGGTGCACTTTTGCATTGGGAAACCCTTCCCCTTTATAGTCTGTTGTTCTTTATTATAAAATAACACACTGATAATTTTTCAACCCCAAATATATTTTTCAACACAGGAGTCATGCATGTAAGTTGTACTCTTCAAGTCATCAAATCATTTATTTTATCTTACCATATCTTTATCTATAGCTTCTCCTCTTATGGGTGCCCAAAGTTTTCCTAATCTGACTACAACTGGTACCACATCAACAGTGACCATGTCTACATCCAGTGTTACTAGCAGCAGCAATGTAGCTACAGCAACTACAGTTTTATCTGTTGGTCAGTCGCTTAGTAATACTCTAACTACTAGCCTAACATCAACATCTAGTGAGAGCGATACAGGGCAGGAGGCAGAATATTCTTTATATGGTAAGTTTCATTTTTAAACGAACATAAGCATTACACTTCCCATTAATGACTTTTCCTTTTATTCCATTGTTATGATTTTCTCATATAGTAGTTTATTTACTGAAAAGTATTTGAAAGTTGAGCTGTTCATATGTTGCTAGTTCTGTAAGGCAGTAAGTAAAATAATGTTAAAGTAGTGGTATTTCCTTATGTTTTCAAATCTTTATTTTCAGCAGTTTCTATCCCATATTACTATTATTTATGGTATAGTTTATTTAAGCACTTTAATATTTTCCATCATCAAGTTTAGTTCCTAATATAGTTTGCATATGTACTTCTAATTACAATCAAAGTGTAATTTTTTGTTGTGTTGTATAGGCATGCTACATGCACAGTCTGATGTACCTTGTATTACTCTGATTGAAAAGCATCCCCCATTAGGCACATTGTACCCTTAAAATAGCTTCTAGGTATCTCAGTACCATAATAGTAATTACAAAACATTGGAAAAAACACAAAAATTGACAGAAAGAATGAAATTACATGATTTGACAAACAGATGCAGAGTCGTGTGGGTGCCTTAGAACCAGACTTTAGGACAGAGGTTACTTGAGGCATATGAATACAGTGAAAGAAGATTTAGATAATTTCCTAATTATCAGTAATACTTAGGAATTGAGCTGATAAAATGAAGTCAAGAAAAACCTGGGCTGGATATGAGAAAATGCTTCCTAATGTGAAGTTCATTGAAGTGTGAGATATTCTTGAAAGAAAGATACTAGATTTATTTAAAATATTGTTGGATTAAGATTGTGTTCTATTTTGTCACCTATTGAAATTGCTTGAAAAATTTCTGGTCATTTCAATGGGTATTGGAATTTAACTTCTTGGAGGCAGTTGATTAATATATCTGCATATACCATTTCCCTTTACTCTTTTAATTAAGACTAATTTGATACCTTGGGTGACAAGTCTTAAAATATATCACCAACAACTGAGCAAATAGAGTGCATTCTAGTATCAGTAGAGGTGGTAGCAACAATACAAAGGGTGTTTGGGTGGCTATAGATGGTTTTCATGTGCACAGAAAAATGTAAAAAAAAAAAATTGCTCAAAGCTTCATCCCAGCCCACTTGGATTGCTGTGTACTTCTTTTCTGGTTTTGGGAGGTTGTTTTTTTAAATCTTAGTATGAAGTGAGTAAAATGGAACTTTGCCTTCAACTTCTTGTTACAGTAATTAATTAGAGATTGAATCTTTAAAGTATCACTCTTAAATGTTTATTTTAACTTACAATGTAAAGGACATATAAGGTCTAAACCACACATTTTTAGTGGTAATTACATCACTCACCTATTTTTAAATTATTGAGACATAAACAATCTGCATTTGTGCATAATTTTCTGGTGATCTTTTGTAATCTAAAATAAGTGTAATTATAAAATGTTATAATCAAGTGAGAAACAGATCACTCTTGCTGATCACTATTAATTGTACCAATAGTATGTGCTTCTATAGTTGTGCTATTGACTAGATCCATGGACTTTTTAACAGGTGTATGCTTTTATCACAGCTTTTATCCCTGATATGCAATAAGCAATGTTATAGTTCTCTTTTTCTGGTTTAAGTGAGATGTCTTTTTTCATTCTTCCCAGTGCTTCTGTTCTTTATTTTAAAAATTCTGCTTTATAAGTTATTCTTGTCTTTTGTCCTTTATGTAAATATATATATGTGTGTTCTAGATTTTCTTGATAGCTGCCGAGCTAGCACTCTGTTGGCAGAGTTAGATGATGATGAGGATCTACCTGAACCAGATGAAGAAGATGATGAAAATGAAGATGATAACCAAGAAGATCAAGAATATGAAGAAGTTATGGTATGGTATAGTTAGCATTGATGACTAACTTAACTGACTAACAGGTGCTTTAAAAATCCAAAATTTTTTTGCAATAGCAAGTCCTACGTACAATATTAACTCCATTCGTTAAATTGGTTTAGATTTATTTAGTTTCTTGCATATAGCCAAAACCACAAAAAAACTGTTATTAAACACCAGCATACCCAAGACTTTACAGGATTAATGTCTTAGAATGAGTCTGGGAAGAAGCTGACAAACAGTAGAAATGATGATTCACTAGTTCACAGGCTGATGAAATGGTATAACTGTGGATACAGGTTGTAGTGATTCATTTCTGGGGTGTGTTTAATTGTAGGCCTGTATGAAGCAAGAGTTTGCTAAAGGAAGTCTCTCTCTTCTTAAGAACACCCCCAAAACCCCAAGAAGAAAACAGTGGGGTGGGGGCTAGACAAAACCCAGCATGGTGGTTCTCATGGTTCTTGCCTACACTATCAGGAGTTCTGCCTTTTCATTTGGTTGTTCTTTACTGGTATGAACAGTGCTTGGTCTTCTACTATTTCTGAAGTGATCAGAATGAATATTGCAAGATTTAGGAGGAAAAATAGAAGGCTTCACTAATTCTAATTTAATGTTTTACAGAATAAATATAAATATTGTTTTATGGAATTACAGAAACTTCATCTTGTAATTAATATGGTAATATTTATTTAATTTGGACCAAAATATTTAGCATTTTTACTTACTGTGTTTATGATTTTAATAGAAGCTCATTAGGTACATGAATGAACATCTTGTTTCACCTTCTGTACAAAGATACAAAGTTAGGAAAAAAACCAAGCCAGTACAACTTAAGTGGATCTTACAATGTAAACAATAACTTCAGTTTATAGAATGTTGACCAATTTTAAAAAATTATTAAATGGATTTATTATCCTTCTTCATGGGAAGTAGCAGAAATAGCTAAAATAGACTTTGCTTTAAATTATACAGGAAGAAGCAGGCCTGGAAAAGAAAATTTTCCTTTCTTGGGTTCTTTCTGATATACCATGAAATTCTTCTCAATGAGAATAAGAACAGATTAAAAGTTTATTGTAGAAAATTCATAACTAATTAATACTTGTTAAAGCCTATTGAAAATTGGATTTTTTTTCCCCACTTAAATAGTTCTAGTATTTTGATACTTGATTTAATCTCTGGATAAAATGTGTATACATTACATATCAATATATGTATGCACTTTGGAAAAAAGTGCTTCTTGTTTTCAAAAAAACAAATGTTTATTTTGATGTCATTGGATATATTTGAACCTCTGGTATTGCAAAGTTTGTGGAATACACAAAGCATCTATACCAAGTTTGCTGGTCTACAGTACTCTGTATTTTCCTGTGTTCTGGTGTTTCATGGGAGGTTTTAATTCTTTCCAGAAACTATAAATACACCTGTTCCAGCTTTGATTTATTTTGTGTTAATTTTATAGAGAAAATTAACATAATGAAGACATAATGAAATGATGGAATGGGTAAGGTTGACAAGAGCCACAGTGGGTCATCTGGTCCAGCCTCCCTGCTCATTCAGGGTCATCCTAGACCTATGGCACAGAATTGTGTCTTGAGGGCTCTTGAGTATCTCCAGCTTGACACACAACCTGTCTCAGTGGATGTTTACTCACACAGTAAAGTTCTTCCTCATCTTTAGGTGGAACTTCCTGTTACAGTTTCTGTCTATTGTCCTATTGCTTGAGAGGAGCCTGGATCTATCTTTTTGACACTGTTTCATCAGATACTGACAGACATTGATGTAATCCCCTGTCATTTGTCTCTTCTTGCGGCTAAACAGGCCCAGCTCCCCCAGGCTTGCCTCATAAGAGAGATGCTCCAGTCTCTTAATCATATTTGTAGCCTCTGTGGGGCCTCTCCAGGAGCTTCATGTCTCTCCTGACTGAGGAGCCCATAACTGGATACAGCACTCCAGATGCAGCCTTACCAGAGCTGAGTAGAGTTGCAGTTTAGTTTGTGACTGCTGTACTCATGAACTCTCAATTCTTTTATCAGATTATTCTCTTTAGCAGAATCAAAAAAAAAACAGCTAGGATTTTTGGATGTTTTGTTTTTGTTTTTTTTAGGAAGAAGAGGAGTATGAAACCAAAGGAGGCCGTAGAAGAACATGGGATGATGACTATGTCTTGAAACGGCAGTTTTCTGCTTTGGTTCCTGCTTTTGACCCAAGGCCTGGTCGTACTAATGTGCAACAGACAACTGACCTAGAAATCCCTCCACCAGGTATGCTGAGAAAATATGTAATGCTTAATCTGGCTTTAGGATGGAGATGCACTGTTAAGGGCCCACTGGATCTGGGGATGCTATCCCTATCAATCAGTACAACATGCTCTTGTGGCTGTGTGGCTTTTCTCTGTTTGAATGTGAGTTTCATCTACCTCTGCAGATCTAAGCATTATTGAGGGAAAAGTAAATTAAGTTCTGAGGAAAATAAGCAAATTTAGGAATTTAGCTAGGATCATCTCTTACCATGATAAGTAATAAAATCTCTTGATGTATTAAAGATGTGATAAAGATGCCTAGTTTGACCTTCAGGGACTTAACTGTGTTAAAGCTACCCAGAATAGATTTGATGAGAGGATATGCTGAAGCAGTGCAAAGCTGAGGCAGGGGCAAGGTAAAGCAGTGATGGAGCAGTGTGTACAGTCAGCAGCACAGTACCTGATCTTGCTCCTTGGCTCCTTAGTTCGTCCTTGTTCAGCACTGTGGATATACTCAACATTCATTACAGAGAAGTATAAGTAGGTTTTAGCGTATGTGGGAATAAGCCACTGCTTATTTTGGAGAGTTGAAACGAAAACTAGAAACTTCTTTTCTAGGAAAAGAAGAATTCATGTGCTGTGATAATATGTAAGATGTTACCAAGATATAGGGACCAGTAGGGATTTCAGAAATTCCTGTTACTCTTACTCCCATAAAGAAATGGTTCAGTCATAATTTAGTTCATAGTTAGAACTCCGTTTCATCTCTTTGGCATGTGTGCAGTAAGTCATTACACTTCCTTATTGAACCATGTTATTAACATTTAAGCCACCTTGTCATGCATTATGTATTTTGTGTTAAGGGTTCTCAAATGATTTTTGCAGGTACACCTCATTCAGAACTCTTGGAAGAGGTGGAGTGCATGCCTTCGCCACGTTTAGCACTTACCTTGAAAGTTTCGGGTCTTGGAACAACTCGAGAAGTAGAACTGCCCCTAACAAACTTTCGATCTACCATCTTTTACTATGTACAGAAATTGTTACAGCTCTCCTGTAATGGCAGTGTGAAATCTGACAAACTTAGACGTATTTGGGAGCCAACATACACGTAAGCCTACCAGTTCCATTATTCTGTGTAAGGAACACTGTGACTGAGTAGGATATGGATGTTAATTTTTAAACTCCTCCTCTCTAACCAGCAATGCTAGAATTAGATTTTTTTTTGTTTGTCAGGTTGTTAACACTGGTTTTAAAACTACTGCTATGCCTGCAAAACCAAGGGAAAAAATCATAACCTTTAGGGATCTGCTTGGGAAAATGCCACGGGGTTATAATCCTAGTGAGAAGAGAAGTCCAGGAGAGTTGATGGATTTTTTTTTCAAGGATCACTTTCTCCAGACTCAAGAACAGTCCATCCCAATACATAGGAAGTCAGGCAGAGTCAGTATGGGTGTTGATCTGCATGGATGAATAAAGAAGTGTCAAAGGGAAGCATGCAAGGAGTGGAAGAAGGGTCATATGATCTAGGAGGAATCCTAGTTGTCCCAACTTGAAGGCAGAACATTAGGAAAGCCAGAGCACATCTGGAGTTGAATCTGGTGATATATGAATTGCAAGAGAACTGTTACTCAACATACAAGCCCATGGGACCCAGTGGAATGTACCTAGGAGAGCTGGCCATCCTCTGATATCTTTGGAAGGTCATGAGGATTGGGAGATGCTTCTGAGGACTGGAGAAAAGGAAGTGTCATTCTGCCTCCCACAAAGGCAGGAAAGATCTAGGGAACTACAAACTGGTTACTGTTTCATCCCTGGAAAGGTGATGGTGATAGTCCTGGAAACCATTTCCAAGCAGTGAAGGATAAGAAGGTGATTTGAAGTATGTGGCATGGATTTATGAAGAGAAAATCATACTTAGCCAGCCTTACAGTCTTCTGCTATATGACTGGCTCAGTGGATGAGAGGAAAGCAGTAGATGTTACTTTCCTCAACTTTAGGAAGGCTTTCAACATTTTCTCTCTCCCTGACAAACTTAGAAAGCATGGACTGGATAGTGTCTGAAAAATGCCCGAACTGCTGGGCTCAGATGGTTGTGATCCTCGGTGTAAAGGCCAGCTGGTGTACCCCAAGGGTTGATATGAGTCCAGGACTGTTTAAACATCTACATTAGCTGACTGTATGATGGGACAGAATAGACTCTCAGCTTCCAGGCAAAACAGAACTGGGGAGGAGTCACTGTTGGACCAGATGGCTGTGATGCCATTCTAGAAGACCTCATCATGCTGGTGAAATGGAGAGACAGGAGCTTCGTGACATTTCACAGAGGCAGATGTAAAGTCTGTCAGCTGGGGAAGAGTAACTCTGTGTGTGCTTAAGGCTGGGGGCCAGCTGGCTGGAAAGGAGGTTGGTGAAAAAGGCCCTGAGGGTCCGAGTGGGCATAAAGTTAACTATGAGCCAGCTATGGACCCTAGTAGCCAAGATCAGCAGCACCCTGAGCTGCATTAGGAAGGTTGAGTGAGGTGATTGTCCCCATCAGCACTGGTGAGATACACCTATGTCCCAGTTCAGGGCTCCTCAGTACCAGAAAGACATGGGCACTGGAGTGAGTCTTGCAAGGGGCTGCTAGGATGATTTAAGCACTGAATGCTTTTGTTGTACAGAGAAGAGTCTGAGAGATCTGAATCTGTCTAGCCTGGAGGAAAAAAGACTTGTGGGCTCTTACCGATGTGTATGAATACCTGATGGAGGACATAGGGAAGCCAGGCCATGGACTTTGACGTGACACATGAAAGGACAAGAAGAAAAAAGGGCTCAAACTGAAATACAGGAATACAGGAATTCCTGAAATACAGGAAATTCTATTTAATCATTATATTTGTGGACCTTCCTACCTCAACTATTCTCTCAATGTTAATATGACCTTACTAGCTCTGTAGTAATAGAAATTGTAAAACTATATGATGGGGAATGTTTTCCATTTACTACCCCAATGTAACTTCTGTCTTACTAGAAGAACAATGTGTATGTAAACAACAACTGCAGTAAGGAGGGGTGCAGTATTTTTAACTGTAGTTCAGATTTAATTAGTGCTTTTACACCTATTTTCTGAGTTGCCTTCTGTCAAAAATTGCATGCTGCAACAAACGGTTTCCTAGGTAGAAAACATGAGAAATAGTTGTAAATGTGTCTGTCTTCTAAGTTAATGCAAAGCAAGCTTCCCTAGGACTTCAAAATTTTAAGGCATTTGTGCACATGTAGTGAAAAATCTAAAGTTGGTTTGGGAAATTGGCACAATGAAGGTTGTTTGATTACTCAAGTCTCACTTAAGGAAACATAAATACTTTGCAAGATAAATACCAACACCATGAAAATAGAGCTTAAGAACTTTGCTGCCTCAGGGTATCTCAGATGTTCTGTGCAGCAAAGAGCAGCTGCTGTTTTGTTTTACATCACATTATCTAAATGTTACTGATACCTAACAAGTCAATGTGTAACTTCAGAATTTAGAGGATGTGCTATGAGTATGAAATATTAACTCATTGTTTTGATGTCTAGAATCATGTACAGAGAAATGAAGGATTCTGATAAAGAGAAAGAAAGTGGAAAAATGGTAAGACCTATTTCGGTGCCTTTGTGTTTTATGTCTGTTTTAATAAAAGCAAAAGAAATATTACTGCAGTTTTTGAAATTCTACATTTAAAAAAACTAACAGTTTTCAAACTTAAAGAATATATGTGAGTATATTTGTAAATGCATGCTCCTTTAAAAAAAGACATTATATATTGCATGTGAAATCTTAAAGACTTTACAATCAGGAAAAACCAACATTTGGTGGTTCCTGTTGTAGGGTTGCTGGTCAGTAGAGCATGTGGAGCAGTACCTTGGCACTGATGAATTACCAAAGAATGACTTGATAACCTACCTGCAGAAGAATGCAGACTCAGCTTTCCTGCGCCACTGGAAATTAACCGGCACTAATAAAAGTATTAGGAAAAACAGAAATTGTTCCCAGCTCATAGCTGCATACAAGGTATATGTCTGCATCCAAACTTTTCTTTTTTATTATGAATGGCTGTGTGCTTTGTTTTGCAGCTTTAAAGATTCTTGTGGAGGGAGAGCCATGGTATTTACAGGGAAATTGAATGTTCAAAAGCCAGTTTCAAGTTTAGGTTTTGCTGCTCTTGCCTTTTTATTTTAATGTCTTCTGTTAAATGTAGTTGTGTTAAAATGCATTTGAATTTGCACCATGCACAGTTTGATTAAGTGCTAAGTTTGAACACAGTAACTGTTCTGATTTTTTCAAATCAACTTGTAATACAGTCCTAAAGCCAGCAACACATGCAGTTTTCATTCTTAACCATTCTCTTTTTTCACAGGATTTTTGTGAACATGGATCAAAATCTGGATTGAGTCAAGGGGCCATTTCTACTCTTCAAAATTCTGATATCCTTAGTTTGGCCAAGGAACAGCCCCAGGCCAAAGCTGGCAGTGGACAGAACTCCTGTGGAGTAGAAGATGTTCTGCAGTTACTTAGAATTTTATATATAGTTGCCAGTGACCCTTACACAGCACGGACTTCTCAAGAAGGTAACTTAGTTATTTTACAGGGCTTCTAAAATATTTTAATGAAAAAAAATAAAGGAAAACTTTTCTCTTGATTATTTTCAGAAGGAGATGAGCATCCTCAGTTTAACTTCCCACCAGATGAATTCACAAGTAAAAAAATTACTACAAAGATTCTCCAGCAGATTGAGGTATTACACAAATGATTATACACAGTGTATATATGTAGTATTGTTTTTAGAACTCTGTTAATTTTCTTCCTTACCTTGACTTCTTGAAATTATTGGCTTTTTGCCATTTTTCATTTTTGAATTGTTTCATACATATTTTCTTCCTTATATTGAATGAGTAAATTCTGTAAGAACAGACTAGTCTGAATAAAACCATGCAGTTTGTTTTTGTACAAAGCATACAAAACTTTTTTACTTGATATATTTTGGTTATGAATAATAATAGTCTTTTCTCTGTACCAGACATTGATGTTACAATGTAGTGTGTATGTATGTCTGCCTGATGATAATGTAAAAAAGACAATTGATTATGTTAAGTTTCACAGACATTTTATTACTCATACATTCTACATAAAGCTTTCAAAAATAGCATTTAGAAAACATCCTATTGGTACCATGTTAATTAGATACATTAAAAGGAAAATTTTAGGATGTAGTTTTTCAGTAGAGCTACATTCTCTTCAACAAAGATAAAGAAGACTCTCATCTTAGTGATCCTTTGTGTGCTTTTTGAGGTTTGGGGGGTTTTGTTACATTGTCACATTGTCCCAATTATTTATTTTAAAAAGAGTTTCGATTTTTCCTGTTGTTTTGAACACTTCTCTGGCACCGTGAACATCCTTGTAGTAATAATTTCTGTAGTATAGTTTATTATAATTGTGATTCAGAAAGGACTGTAATAATATTTTAAGGGGATAATTTTCTACCATTAAGTTTCTTTCATGTCTTCTGATATTGAAATGGTAATATCCAATTCCTTTTGGGGAAAACTCAGTAGTAATTCTTTTCAGGTAATTGGGTTCTTAGATCTCCCCACAGTGCTTTGAATAGTGTATATCCCAGAGATTTACTACAGCTTTTAGTGTCTATGTCAAAGCACCCTGTGTCCACACTTAAGTCTTAGAAAGTTAATGAACTTAGAATTACAGAATATGCTGAGTTGGAAGGGATTCATCAGGATCATGGAGTCTAACTCCTGGATCTGTGCAGGACATCCCAAGAGTCATACCCTGTGCCTGAGAGCATTGTCTAAATGCTTCTTGAACCCTGCCAGGCTGGTGCTGACACCACTGCCCTGGGGAGCCTCTTCAGTGCCCAGCCACCCTCTGGGTAAACAGTCTTTTCCCAATGTCTACCCTAAGTCTCCCCTGACTCAACTTCAGGCCATTTCCTTGAGTCCTGTCCCTGTCACCACACAGAGATCAGTGCCTGCCCCTCCTCTGCCCCTCACAGGGAGCTGGAACTGCAGTGAGGTCTCGTACTTTTCTGTGTATGTACTTAGTTACAAACTTGTTGGGACCACCTAAGTCAAACATCACTAACACTGGTGGTTTTTTTATTCCTTGCATCAAACTACAGCACTAGCAAGCGGAGCTTTGCCAGACTGGTGTGAGCAACTAACAAGCAAGTGTCCTTTCTTAATTCCATTTGAAACAAGACAGTTATACTTCACATGTACAGCATTTGGAGCATCAAGGTAAGAAAAAAAAATAAAATATGACTTCTTCCTTTTCATTTTTTACATATAATAGTTTCTAAATTGCTGATTTCCAGAAGGACCTTAATCCTAATGAGACAAATTTTTCTTGCCAAATCCTGAATAATTTTGGATGGAAGGAAGAAGATGGAAAAGCTCAGAATGACAAGGAATTTTATTGTTTAACTTCAGCTGAAGACCTGTTGGTCAGTTTGTCTGGGTTGCAGTTCATTGCATAAAGGACTACAAAACAGAAAACATTTGGAGAATCATATGAAATTATATTTTTTTTAATACATTTTTACAGTTCCAGCAACTTGTGATTGTTTTGGCTCATTTATTTTTAATTCATTCATCTTTTAACAAAACAGAAAACTAAGAAAAAGATGCTATTTTGAAAGTTACTATAAGCTGCATAATGAAACTGGAACAAAACCAGACTTCAAAACATTTAAGGGTATCCTCTAGAGTTCTTTGTTACCTCGGAATCATTAATATTTTGATTGCAGTTATCATAACCTTGAGAGTATGTAGACAGTGTAAACCTTTTTGCTGGTACACTTTTTTGGTAATGAGAAGGAAGAACTAGTTTTTGAGGTTTTTTTTGGCTGTTGCTACACAATTTTTTCCAAATCAAAGAGAAGAGAGAGAGTTGCCAAAATTACTGTTGTGTCTTATATGCAGTAGAAGTGCCTCAGGAAGAGTATAAAATGAGGTATTTAAAAAGAAAGAAAAAGGAAGAGAATAAAAGGTATTATCTTGCAAAACATTGGTTTATGTCTTTTTATTGTGTAAAAATCTTAACTTTTACAGAAAAATGGTCTGTATGTTGGGGTCTGTTTTGTTTTGGAAGAAGTTAATTTTTAGAGAAGCTGCATTTTAAAGAGATCTCTCAGGAAACATTGCATTTTATTTATTTTGTAAGTAAAGAGCTTTCTTAAGCTCTTAAAATACTGGAAGTAGTTCTTAAAACTCACCTATTCTGTATGAACTGTGGTGTGTACACTATCTGTGTCTGTCATGACACTTGGCTATATTTGCAAAACAATCAACAGATGGTAGCTTTGTAGATAGTTTACTGCTGCATGGATGATAGTGCATACAAAAATTTGAAAATTTGACTTTGTATAAGTACTGCTATTAAAAGCAGCTGTTCTTCACAGATATGGGTCTATTTGTCTATGATTGCACTTAAACTTTGGTTCTCTGTTGCCCTAAGCACTGTGTAAGTAAATAAATCTGCAAAACTTGGTCAGTATGATAGGGGTGATGTGAAGCTGTCTTATGGTATATAATGAAAGGTGAAATATGTGTCTGTGAATAGTTTTGAGCATCTGTGATTAAAATTTCTACAGTAAATGCTACTTTTTGTCCTTTGTACTGTAATGTGAAAACTATAGGAATTCAGATCAAGAATTGTATATTTTCATTTGTACTATCAGAAGCTGGCACTTATTTTAGAAATTACATTGTTTTTTGACTTCATAAAATATGAAGAAACCCATATCTTGGGGCATTTCAGGCTGACAAATAGTTTAGTTTGGTTTATGTCTAAAAAAAATTAGAAGGCAATTAGTACTTAACAAGTGAGTTTTTATTGGTGACTACTTTCAAGTTTTCATGAAAACTTGAAAGACATGGAAATTTTAAACAACTGGTGTTTGTTTTTTTCCAGAGCAATTGTATGGCTGCAGAACAGACGTGAAGCCACTGTTGAACGGACAAGGACCACGAGCACAGTGAGACGTGATGATCCAGGAGAATTCAGAGTTGGACGCCTCAAACATGAAAGAGTGAAAGTTCCGCGAGGTGAATCCTTGATGGAATGGGCAGAAAATGTCATGCAGATTCATGCAGACAGAAAATCTGTTCTAGAGGTAAAGCATATCTGCCTAGCAGAGCGAGGTTAGATAGCTATTTCTAATGTACTGGACAGGATATTGAATATCCTGTTCCAAAACCAATGCTGAATGTTTCAGTAGGATTTTCTTTCACTATTAACTTTCCTTATGTTTTTCTAGGTTGAGTTTTTAGGGGAGGAAGGAACAGGCCTGGGTCCTACCTTGGAATTTTATGCGTTGGTGGCAGCAGAATTTCAAAGGACAGATTTGGGAGCTTGGCTTTGTGATGATGATTTTCCAGATGATGAGTCCCGTCAGGTATATTTTAATTTGTATTTTAAACTGAGTACTTGCGTAAAAAAAAGAAAAATGAGCTACATCCAGGAAGGAAGAACACATGTTCATACAGCAGGTAGTCATTGTGGTCAAGAATGACCACTCTGGTCCACAGCTCGTGTTTTAGTTCTTCTCTTTTTGACAGAGCAGTAGAGTATAAGAAGTAAGACAGTGCAGGTATCTAATTAAATCCACCTTTAACTGCGTCTGCTTTTTTTGTCTGTCTCTTAAATCAGGTTGATATTGGAGGTGGATTGAAACCGCCTGGCTACTATGTACAGAGATCATGTGGACTGTTTACAGCACCATTCCCACAAGATAGTGATGAACTTGAAAGAATAACCAAACTCTTTCATTTCCTTGGAATTTTCTTGGCTAAATGCATTCAGGACAATAGACTTGTGGATTTACCCATTTCTAAGCCTTTTTTTAAACTCATGTGTATGGGGGACATTAAAAGTAACATGAGTAAGTTGATATATGAATCAAGGGGTGACAGAGACTTGCACTGTACTGAAAGTCAGTCAGAGGCTTCTACAGAAGAAGGACATGATTCCTTGTCAGTAGGAAGTCTGGAAGAGGACTCCAAATCAGAATTCATTCTTGATCCACCAAAACCTAAGCCTCCTGCCTGGTTTAATGGAATTTTGACATGGGAAGACTTTGAATTAGTAAACCCACATAGAGCTAGGTTTCTGAAAGAAATTAAGGACCTTGCAATTAAAAGACGTCAAATTTTAAGCAACAAAAATCTGTCGGAAGATGAAAAGAACACTAAACTGCAGGAATTAATGCTGAAGAATCCATCAGGTTCGGGGCCTCCTCTTAGCATAGAGGATTTGGGGTAAGTTTTCATATTTATTTATAGGTAGGCAAACAGTGTTGTGCTAGAGACAGAATCTAACACATAATTACAACTGAAGATTTCTTAGTTTTAAGTAGCATCATTGCAAGGGGGAATCCATAGAGATGCAGCCATATTATTTTTCCTTGGTTTGAAGATTTTCTCTTCTCACTTGCTCAGTTTCCTAATCTTAAATGTAGCTACGCTGCAGTGATGTAATACTCTGAAAACATAATACTTGTAAACACAAATACTTGAAAAATCATAGCTTTAAGAGAAGGGCGATTCAGTAATTTCTTTGCCATGATAACTTGATATTTGAAAACTTGAAAGTTCTTTGAAGAGGACAGATTGACATTTCAGATTGTGTTCCTAGTGCAGTGTTTGAATCCATGTTAAATAGAGCATGTGTTGATTTTCGTAACTGTGAAAGATACTCATCCCTGTGTAAACCCATGCCAGGATGTCATTCTTCCTAGTTTTAAATATTTCCTTTGAAACAACAGCTTTTCTACTATTAATATTATGGATTATTTGTGATGATCATATTGTGCCACAAAAATTGTGTAGTCAGAGTTCAGTAATTACTGATGTCCTTGGAATCACAGACTGTCCTGAGCTGAAAGGAGCCCCCAAGGATCAGCCTGCATAGCACCATCTGCAAGAGTCACACGCTGTGCCTGAGAGCATTGTCCAAACACTTCTTGAACTCTGCCAGGCTGGTGCTATGACCACTGCCCTGGGGAGCTGCTCCAGTGCCCAACCACCCTCTGGGGGAAGAACCTTCTCCTGATATTCAACCTAAACCTTTTATATTCTCAGAGTGTGTAACAGCTTTATATTCTCAGAGGGCTTGTGAAATTTAGCGTGGCTTGTTACAGAGAGAAAGCAAGTAGTACTATTGAAGAGCCTAAGTGCCTAACAGGCTAAGCGGCTCTGTGATGGTTATTGCTGGAATTCAATGGAAATTATTTTTCTGAATTTATGAACTAAATTAAATGTTTTGAGTAATTTTGAAGTTGATAGCTTAATGATAGCTTAAAGATATCAAATGTATGAAATTTTCAGTGGTTATCAAATCCAAATAAGTAGAGAGTGAGAATATGTATTTGCATATCGTATGTTTGAACACATTATCTTTGTAGTTCATTACTGTTTGTAGTTCTGTGCTTTTCTATATACATGAGCAGTGGTTCAAAGTGAGCCACTCACAATGGTTTGTAATCCAGTGATGTGCTTTTGGGTGTGTCCGGTTGTAAATCTGGTGTGTTTACAAAAGCAGTGGCAGACTTGTTTTCAGTTATTAACTACCTTTGTATTTTGAAGTTTAAATTTTCAGTTTTGCCCTTCATCCAAAGTATATGGGTTTACAGCTGTGGATCTCAAGCCAGGTGGTGAAGATGAGGTAGGGAAATAACCTACTTTTACAATTTAACCAGCAGTTAAATTTTTATTGTCTCAACACTAACTTCAATGAACAGTGAATTCTTACAGTATTTATCTACTGTCTTTGCAGACTGTAACAATGGATAATGCAGAGGAGTATGTAGATCTCATGTTTGATTTCTGCATGCATACTGGTATACAGAAACAAATGGAGGCCTTCAGAGGTAATTGTAAATATAACAGCATATATGCAGTTAGGTGGAATAATGGGTGTTTAGGGCATGCTGGTTAAAAGTGGTGGCATAGAATGGCTTTCAAAAATAAATGTTTTTGTTACTTAAAAATGCAACAGGCAAGATACTAATTTCAGAACACCTTTGCATCAGTTATGCTGTTTTTAATTGTGAAGATGTTCTATTTACCTTAATTAAGAAACTACTAATTGGTTCTGGTCTAACTAAAATAGAACTTAAATGCTGACATTATTTTATAAACATTATTTGGACTCATGTTTATAACTGTGTCTTATGTAAATTAAAGATGGCTTCAATAGAGTCTTTCCAATGGAGAAGCTGAGTTCCTTCAGCCATGAAGAGGTTCAGATGATTCTTTGTGGAAATCAATCACCTTCTTGGGCAGCTGAGGATATCATCAATTACACCGAACCCAAACTGGGATATACAAGAGATAGGTACTTTTATTTTGAGTGATATTAAAAGAGTAGCTAAAAGAGCATTTTAAGTGGTAGAATGTCCAGAATGTTCATTAGATGAAGATGACAAATTGGATGAAACTGGTGATCACTGAAGAGTAAGTGATTGTCTAAAACTACATGAAATCACCATGTGTTACAACAGAGAGGTTACAAGGTACTTGATAGTTTTGTGATGAGACAAGATAAAAAAATTATTCCAATACAACTAACTAGTGAAAACATAAAGGCAGGTAATACAGATACTAAAAATAGATTTTAGAGTTTTTATTCTCATGTTTGATAGTAGTTATAACTTTTTATGGCCATGTACAGTTGTTACTTTGCCCATATTTCTTACTCCTTTCTCTTGAGATGTAATTAAAAATGAAAGTGTAGTGTGCAGGGGACAAATATACTTACTGGTGGTTGGCTATCAGAAGGTGGTCTCGATGTTTTCGGGTTTGTTGGGTTTGGGATTTGTTCTTGCTGCTTGTCGTGCTTGGTAGCAATAACATACAAATTACTTCGGGACCTGTGTTAGAATTAGCCTGCTGGAATGTTTGAGCTCTAGTTCCTTACCCAGTCATACGCATTCAAATGCAAGATACCCAAATAACACACCAAGATAACTGTGTACCTACATTTTTTTGTGTGATACTCTGCAAGGAGATTAAAGACTATTTATTTTTATTTAAGGATGTTTTATTCTTAATACTCAATAGGCCCTAGAATCTTACAATGTCTGCTTAAACATGACTAAAGATTGTAATTCTACTGTGTTAAGAGAAATTTAACTCTCTCTTGTAGTGTTATCAGAACTAATTATTTTACTTTATTTTAAAGCCCTGGATTCCTTCGGTTTGTGAGAGTCTTGTGTGGTATGTCTTCGGATGAGAGGAAGGCTTTTCTGCAGTTCACCACTGGTTGCTCAACACTCCCACCAGGAGGGCTAGCAAATCTCCACCCCCGGCTCACTGTTGTGCGCAAGGTACGGCAGCCCCTGGCACCCTTGAAACCAGCTGTTTTGGTTTGGCAATGCAAGAGCTTCTACTTTAATAGTGATGATTTTCTTATAGTTATTTAATTTATAGCACTGTGTTAAGGTTTTGGTACTAACCTCTTGTTTCAGGTCTACTCTCTGATACTATATATATATGTATATATATTTTTCTTATATAATTAATATACTTAAATATCAAAGAATTAATGTACATATAAAACAAGTGTATTTATAAATTGGCCTGTAGCTTTGCTGATGCTATTGTTTCTTGACAACTGGTGTTAGGTATGTAGCAAGTGCCATGAATTAGAGGACTTCACAGCTTTTATCTTTCATACTGAGTGCTGTGAACAACTGCAGTAAACATTCTTCTTTTTTCCTCAGGTTGATGCTACAGATGCAAGTTATCCATCTGTGAATACATGTGTGCATTACCTAAAGTTGCCTGAGTATTCTTCTGAGGAGATCATGAGGGAGCGTCTGCTGGCTGCTACCATGGAGAAAGGCTTCCATCTCAACTGAGCCGCTGCACGCAGCCTGGCACGTGGAAGTGTTTTTGATACTAGCGAAGCCTCTTGTGTTTGTGTGCAAAAAATACGATCTCCACGCTGTGCTCTGACGAGACTTGCCTTTTTTTCACCTGTGAGGCTTTAGGAAAATGTGGAATGTTTGTTAGCTGCTAATGACAAAATAAATCCTTGTAACTACACAGCCAGCAAGAAATTGGCACAGAACACTGTGTGATGCTTCAAGGGCTTGCACAACTGGAAATTAAGGTGTTTCTGTTTGACTGTTCCAAAGAACAGATCATCAGATTTTCAGTGTTCACTGATACAAATTTCTAACAGTGTATTGTGTAAAGTTTGTCTTTTAATACCCTGTACACTACGGTTGCCATCACTGATCCCTGTTTTGCTGGCTTTAAGCTAACTGGTCAGAAACTTGCTTCCTTTAAAATTTAGACTTAATGGGCATCTCCAGCCTTTTCTTTTTTAATGGTGCCTGCACTATTGGAGTATTTTAGTGGGTTTTTGCGTATAATCATGCACAACTGGTTTTTTTTTTCTTCTTTTTCTTTCAAGTGGGAATATATTTTGATTTCTCAAATGCCCTGCTATAAAGATCAAATCCTTAAGTGTGTTTGTGCAGCTCAACAATAAAGCTATTAAAAAACACTGGTTCCTAGTGCAAGGCACACTTAAAGCAAGTTTTACTTTCGGTTGTATTTTCTTTGTATATTATAAACATTTATTTAACTTGTTGCAGTTTGAAGTTTAAAAAAAAAAGCACCCAATGTGTAAGCTCAAAAGTAATCATTAAAATGTTTGCAACATATAAAATTGTCTCTTCTGAATACTTCATTAGTACTTTCTAAATCTCTGCACATGTTCTGAACAATGTGCCATGCCTTTATGAAGGTTTCAAAGAACTACATAAGAGAACTACTGATCTCACAAATTCATCTATGTGTTCAAATCTTTTCAGAGTAAGTGGAACTAAGTTTTGCTTTGTGCCAGTCATCTTTGGTAACAACCTTTTCTCAGGCTACTATTGAAAGGAGCTTGCCAAAAGACTCTGCCTTGCACATGCACATCAGGTTGGTGCTAGATTTCTTTTCATGGCATTGTTTGTAGGACTTTACAGCATTGTCTCTTGGATTTTCCCTAATGCAGAACTGGAGAGGAATATCCACCATCCTGCCCACTTCTGTACCTGTTGTGCTTCAGACAAACACCTGTGTCCAGGTTTATGCAACTCTACTCCAGTCCCAACATCATCTTGTTTTGATAAGCATGTTACTGTGTGAAAGCCCTGTGGATTATTCTCACACACCATTCTTTGCTCCTTAGACCATGGTTTCTAAGTGGTATTGATGTGGCCAGTGTGTCCTTTCACACACAGTATGCTTGTTCAGTATCAGGTTATATGTAGGGTTGGGCTGGAGGTTAAGAAGAAGGATGCAGATACAAGTTCTAGAAAGGTAAGTGGAAGTGAGCTGAGATTACCAACTGTCCCCTGACTTACAGCGCCATGTGCAGTGTGAATCGGCATGCTGGATGCTTGGGAATGCAACTTAGCATAGCTACATCTTCCTGCTCAAGAAGGGAGACTTCATTCCATCCCTACCTGGTCCTGAGAACTTGCATATCTATTATTACTCATCTTTGGTAAAAGTTTTAATTTTGATGAATAGATAGTGTATACAAGAAAAAAAAAATATCCTGGTATGCCAAAATAAGAAAAGATTTTGTGTAATTTATGAAGCAAACATGAGAAAAGAGCATTTAAATTCCCATTTTAATTATATTTTATTAATATTATAATATTTAAGTGCTAAATTATTCCAGTTACAGCTTGCAAAGTATGCAGAAATACTTAATACATCTGTACTTTTCTTTTTGTGTCCATGACTTGCATTGCAAAGGGAGGGAAACCTTTTTTTGATGAAAAAAACAGCTTTTTGATGAAGGATGACTATAGTTAAAAAGTGGGCATAAAAGTCACAGAACTATTATTAACTGTAAATTTGTATGAAAATAAATCAAGCTGATGCTTAAGGGAAGGACTGAAACTCAGTTTGAATTTATATTTCTATGTTTTATATCTTCTAGGTCTGGCATGATACTACATAATTCAAAGTGGTAGATGGTAAGTTTCTTCATCCTCAAAATGTTTTAAAATTATTGACCATTCTAGGAATGTTTCTGCTGGATCAGTGAAGCTACATCTGAATGCATCCACATGTTTAGCTGTATCTTTCCCATTGGGTACACATTAAAGAAATGGAAAATATTTTCCGACTAATTTGAATGTTGTGTGAGTCAGTCTTGCAACAGCAGAAAACTGCTATAGGCACATTCTTGATGCTTTTGCCATCTTTTGTAAAACACCTTAGTCACTCTTGCATCTTCCTAGCCTTCTGCCACTTTGTCAAGCACAAACAGAGGGGCAAGAATTCTGTTCCGGTTCGTTTCCACGATGCAACCATTTAGCACCATTTCATCCAAAATGATGTGCACTCTGTCCAAATTGAACATGATCTAGAAACATTTCAAGTTAAGTGTATTTTGAACAATGTGAAGATAATTTAAAAAAAAATCGTAGGCACCTAAGTTTTTAATAAAATTTTGCAAAAATAGGTATTTCTTAATTTATGCTAGTTTATTTACCATTATTTTAATAAAGCTAGCGAAACAGTAACTTTATCTAACAGCATCTATCTCAAAACGATGGCAGGCCTTCAGGGGTATGAAGGGGTTGGCATTCATGACACACAAGTGCATACATGCAGACATGAGTGTCCAGTGCATCCACTGAACAACTGCCAAGGGTTTGGCTGTGAAAAAAGACTCGGATGTTGCCATTTATCACCAGAACCTGAAATGGAAACGGGCACAGCAAAGCAGCCTGCTGGGTGCATCTGTTATGCCTCACTGACATACATACACAGAGCATGAATAACCCTTTATCTGCCTTACTCTCCACCTGTTGCTGCTCTTTACATGTGTTCTATGCTGAGCACAACAGATTTGCGTTGCCTTCATTTTGTACCTTCTAAATCTTGCCCATGTATTGAGGACTGCTGCAGTGGAGCTAGCAAGACTTCGAACAGTAACTGCTAAATACATCTCTCAGTACTTTCCCTCCATTTTGAAGGGTCTCTTGAGTGCCTTCTCTCCCATTCTGCTATTTATGACACCATGAATTGAACTCAGGAAGACAGCCTTGGTTTTGCTGTAGTCTTTGTATTTATGTTAGTGGACTTGCCTGCTAATCAGTGGAGTTGCAAGAATCAGGTTTTTGAAGGCATTAGCTGTTTCCTCTGCTCAGTGTGATAAATATCAGTCTAATTTTTTGAACATGACTCAGGCATTGAAGAAGACTGCTCTGTCTCCTGACTGCCAGAGGATTTGGTTTTGGCAGTCAGCCCTACTGCTCTGCCAAAGAGCTGGAGCAGTGTGAGTTCTGAACTGCAAATGATAACAGCTTAGGAGCCAGGTATCTATGTATTTGTTCCTCCTTGCTGCGAATGCTATGGGCTGAACTCAGTGCTACGGTGTATTTGCCTATAAGGGGAAGCAATTGTAACGCAGCTTCAGAGGTCGTGTTCTGCTTCACCAAGAGCACAGCATGTCGAGGTATGTGTAGTAGCACAATTCAGGTCCCCAAATACCTTTTCTACTAGTTACTGCTAGGTGAGAAACTATAGCTGTCAACAGGGCCTTGGGGATGGCCATAGTTCATCAGACAGCTTCTAATTTGCTGATCTAAACTTAACTACCTAATTTAATTCTAAATTATTTTTTAAATACCAGACTTCTTCCTGAGCTTGGCAGTTCAAAGATTGAAGACAAATTTCTTACTGTGATAAACTTATTGAGTAAATCAGCCTGTACAGAAATATTTTAATCTGAGAAGTTAGGATTTCTTTATTACAGCAATGTGGGAATTTTTAGAAAGACAGCTGTTTTGCTACTTAGTTCACCTCTGGCACTGCTCTGCACTGGGCTACAAGATCTGTTAGGGAAATTAGATAACATTCCATTCAGGTTTCAACAAGTGAGAAAGCCAACTCCTCCTGGCTTTTAATTTTTACACTCTACCACTGATTCACACTGCCCCAGTTCCCATGGCAGAGTCCATGGACTAGTTCCTCTAGCAGTCCAAAACTCTAAAACCCAGATGACTTAATCAACCAGGATCAGTGACGATGCAGCAACCTGCCATTCCCATCTTATTTTTCTGCATCATCCTGTTTAGGAAAACATTTAAATCACATCTAGTACTGTTTTTTCCCCTGCTGTATTTCTAGAAGAGTTGACAGTATGTCAAAGGAGAACTCTACCCACGCCAATAAAAATCTTGGAGCTGTTCCACTCTCAATGTAGTTCAATGAGATGTCAGTTTCCCTGCAGGCCATTCCAGGTTATTTCCAAACAGGCTTACTCCACTGCAGAAAAGTGGAATGACTTCTGCATCAACTTGATTTTGGAAGGTCCCAAAGCATTCTTTAACCTCTACCCTCAACCCAACATCCCACCTCCCTTCACCACACTGTTCTTGGCAAACAATTGGACTGTACAGGGAGCAAGCCTGGCTCTTTTCCCTTTCCTCTAGGTTTCACCCATGCTTTATGGTTACATATTGCCCAACACAGCTCAGCCATTCATGTCTGAATGACCTGCCCACGGAGAGATACGTATTTGATCCTTAGCAAGGCTCATCCTCCTCACCTGTTACTTGTTTGGCAAGTGACCCCAAATTTCAGGGTTTAAAGCCCTGGAGTCATAGATCCACACCCAACTGAAGCAGCAAAGCAAACCAGTTTGAGCAGCTGGCAACAGGAAAAAGCTGTATTTGGTGTTTGCACTGCCATGTGCTCCACCCAGAGCTGTCATTTAAGGTCCTGCTTCCAGTAAGAATCTTGGCTGCCCACAAAAAGAACATTAAGGGACTTTCAATAGATCCATGCAAAGGATAACAGGACTTTGAAAAACAAGAATGCAGAGGAAAACGTGTTCATCTCTGCATGCCAGCCTGGGCAAAGATAAGCCCTCCTGGCTTTGGCTTCCCAATTTCTGGCAGTGCTGCAGAGGCTGTGTACCAAGCAGCAGAAGTAAATGGTACCTACACAATTGGTATTTTAAATGTTATGTTGGCTGTTGGTAACCTAAAGAGTTCCTCTTCTTAAAGACATTAATGGTACTTTCTATTATCACAGAGTTTTTATGGCAAATGCATAGTAAGAGGTCTCCTTTCCCAAAACATTATATATAGACAGTTGAGCAGGAAGAGGGGAAGGAAAGAAGTGGAAAAGGCATAGTTAGGACTTGCATGTAATAAATAACTTCTTCATATGGAGGCATTTTAAGAGATCTCAGGTTTTTACAGGCAAGTAATTCAAGGGTGTGTCCAGGCTTCAGAGATGCTGAAGTGCACCTTGTGATCGCAGAACACACCCAAGAACACAAACAAAGGCTTTGTAGATTACAGTACAGGTACATATGGGGCAGATGGTTTGCTACTGAATATACAGCCCTTGATTTCCATCATGTACATTCATCCTCAGCTAGAGATTAGCTGGAGTTGCTTCTTTATTTAGTCTAGACTCACACATTCTGACTTATTTTGCCAATGTTCACTTTCAATAGCCTTTAGCCTATCTAATGGCAGGCATGTTTAAGGCACTGAAACCTGTGAAATGCTTTTTTGACCATTTATTTGTCAAGTAACTATGCTGATATTAAACAGGAGACAAAGGTGCCTTCAAGTTCTGTGAAATTCTAGAAGCTAATTTTAAGCTAGTCTTTATAGGTCTCCATTTCACCCACTTACGTTACAGTACAACTGAAGTGTATCCTTATAAATTCTCAAAATAGATTCATCATTCAATTTTCTCACTCCTTAAATGCATGGTATCCTCAGTGTTATCCCATGGGGAATTGAAGAATAGTTGATTCACATGAAGTATTCCCTGTATCAAAGTTTCTTATCTATCCTAGGAGGAGCAGCAGCAGCTAGTTGCAATGGAATGTCATGGCTTTTTTGGATCAAGACAACATTCTTCAGATGCTTAGTCCTAGAGCACTCTGTCACCCTCTCCCTTCCCACAAGGGGAGTGTAAATATCTGTTTCCCTAGAAGTTAATAATGTGTCTTCAAGCAAGCTTTGCTTCACCAGTTCAAGCAATAGAAAAGGTAACTTTTCTATTTATAAAAGTAATTTTAGAAACTGTCATACATACCAGCGTTTTGTTCCTTAAAGTTGCTGTTCTAACACTTGTGTTTTTATAGGCTCTTTTGTCCTCATCATAGCAAGAAAATAGTTCCTACACCACCCAAGCTGGAGTTTTAGTGCTACAGAAAACCCCTCCCACTTATTTTATAGACAAAGGGAAGCTTATCCAGTACTATTTACACATTAGAGCACAACACCCCGAAGACAATTTCAGTATTTGTTCATTCAGCTGGCCTAACAACACTCCTTACTGATATTTTAAAAACAATCCAAACAACTTTAGGAATGATAGGTCATTCCAGCTTATGTACTCTTTAAGTGTGCAACTGACTCTTGAAAATGAACATCGTATAATGGCTAAGTGGTTCACAACTGACACGTGAAAGCTTCTGTAAAAAGCTGGCTATTCTCAAGTACTTAGCCAGTAGGTATTCTGTGTTCATTTTTGCAGAAACATGAGAGAACTGTGCATTGTTTAGCATCAATGTCATACATACCAACATGATGTACAAATCCTGTTGGGAAGGATCCAGATCAGACTCAGTCCCTTGTGCTGCTCAAGGCACCCTTCCTGACATCAGACTCCAGAGAGACCATGACATGAGCTACAGTGTGGATGTCCTGGATGAATTCAGGTGTGGACCTAAATGAAAGCTGTAGTTCTGCCTCTGATGGAGCTGCATTGCCAGGAATACTGGAATAATGTCTGGGAGCTGCAAGAACCAGTGCATGTGCTACAGGCTTGGTGAGGGCTCCAGGGACATCTCAGTTGTGTGATAGGCTCAGCCCTTGGATTTAACTGGGCTTTGCTTGGTGCGTGGCTGAATAGCCTTAGTAATTATGATCTGTTTCAAATGGGTTTTGAGTTTGTCACTTCCTGCTATTTTTTTTTCATGTTAGTAAACACTACTGGCTATACAGAATAGCCACTGTCACATTTAAAATAAACTTCCTATGGATCTGTACACAAAAATAATACCAGACACTCAGGAAATCACGAGAGTGTCTTGCAAGATACCCTGTAAACAAAGATTCTGTAAATACTACTTGGTGTTCACTGTTGCAGACCTTCAGGTGATACCTCTTCCAGCAGATACTTTGCATCCAAGCTAACTGCACTGAGCACAAGAGTTAATGTGAGAGCATTTGGCAAAGGCAACAGTTCAATTGCAGGGGAGGATATTTTCTTTCACATTATGAAAGGCAAGTTGATGGTTTATTTCTTGCACTGCAATACTAGCTAAAGGCACTTGTCCAAATTATTCTTCTGGGTCAGCTATTCAAGCTGTTGTCAAAAACAAATACAGTCCTGAACAACCCACTTCCTCCTAGTTACACCTCCGCTTTACATTTAATAAAGGAGGGTATCTTATTTGACTATTTTAGGTAGCCTTTCAGCTTAAGAATTAAGCTCTTCTTCCTAAATGGGAGAATTATTTTGTACATTTATAGAAGTAGAATGTTTTATTGTAAAATTGTTCCTAAAATGTGTATCATAAAAAAGTACCTTTCTGAATGCTAAAACTACATACTTCATTCATATGTCATAGGTGTTGAGAGACATATCAGACATGAGCTTTTCCAGTATTTTTTCCACTATGACCAAGTAAGTTGGTAATGCACACTCCTATTTACTAAATATTCCCCTCCCAGGTTTTTCCCTTCCTCCAAAGATACAGAAATTAAATCTCACCTCTTGTTTTCATGAAGTAAGATCAAACTGCAAACATAATCTTACAGATAGTACTGCTATTTGGCTCTAGACACTACAGCTGTAACATTGAGTTGTTATTACAGTATTGTTCAGTTGTTATTACAGTAGTTGCAATATCTATTTTATTGTAAACTCAAACTGAAAGCTTAAAATAGTAAGCCTAGTTAAGCCTGAAAGTTCCTCATGAATTATCTTTTCACGTACTTCATCCTCTCAAAGCAAGGTCTCTGTGTCTTATTTTAAATGGAACCAGGCTTATCTTAATGATGGAGGATTTAAATAGGTGACCCATGTGAACATTAGCCATGCTTTCAGAAGGTGCCAAAATGGTGCTACTTACTCCAAGTGCAAAACTGGTGAACATCTGCATTGACTTGAGTGACAGTCAGTGCTATGAGGATGGTATGAACTGCAACATACACACTATAACAAATGCATTTCTGATACTGAAAAGGATACATCTAATTCACTCTGCAGGGAAAAGAGATAGACAGCCATTAGTTACAGTTTGATCTCTTATCTCAGATGATCTCATAATCACCAAACATTACACATCCCTTCAAAGGATAAAGAAAGTCTTCAAAATATCGATAGAAAATTTTAGAGTGATTCATATTTCTCTTCTGGACTGGACAATTACATGCTCTTTCCTGCAACACTGATTTGCTTTACATGTGTTACCTGTCTCTGTAATCAAAGCTAATGTTTTACTTGAAAAAACCCACTGAGGTCACCTACAAGTAACAATTTGAATATAGTCAGTGCCATCTGAGTGAGTGGGTGGAAAACCAGCAGCTGTAATCATGGTGGTCCTGGCCCTATATTCTCTCTTCCTCCTTCTGCAAAACCAGGATGTGAATGCCAAGTTTACACAGTTGAAGTTGTTGCTGCAGATCATTTCAACAGCAAAATCTAGACACTGTATATACCCATGGCTGTGGTAGTGGCTGCACGTATTAGGGAAGGCAAGGCAACTCCAAGCTTTGGACTTTTAGCACTTCTAAGTCTTCTCCAGCGCCAGCAACACAATTCTTCATATAGTCATAATTTTCCTTCTATTTTTGGATTTACCCCAAGCAGTATTACTCATTTAACCAAAATGTCTGAGTTACAAGCCCTCGTGGTCTCTCTGCAGTCAGCAGAAGAGAAGGGGATCTTCACCAGTTGACTCGGCACACTTGAGGCATGACTCACGTTCTCGAGATACTCATCAGTCTCCATTGCCAGTAATGGGAGCTTAGGATGACCAAATTTCTAACTTAGGTGCCTCAGTTAAATAGCTAAACTTAGAATTATTCACTTAGCCTTAGCACTTAAGATCTTGCAGAGTTGGGTGGAGATTCCCCAGTCTCTATTAAAAGAGGCAATCTTTACCTGCTACCTAGAGAATTTAGTTTGATAAAGTAGTTTTCATTCATGGTCTAAACCTGATTTTAAAGCAGAGTAAAGCTGGTAAGGTATTACTGCTAAAATTACTATTACTTTTGTGGTCTACAGATGATCTAAACTGGAGTAGTTCTAGTCTACAGGCCTCTGCTGAGTGACCCTGCCATTCTTCAATTAGAAGTTTTTAATGCATCACAAAAGTTGCATTTTAAGGGTACGATCAGTTTAAGTGTTCTCAGCATCAAAAAGTAGTTGGAGAAATTGGAATTCTGAACAGTGTGCAGAATTTTTCCTGGGTAGTGAAAATACAAAAGTGAAGGGGACTCAGAATTACATCTCACGAACAACTTTGAAAGCTTTCCCCCTAATTCCATTAATGTTTGTTCTCATATCTGAATTCAAGCTCTGTAAACTCCATTAGATAAAAATAGAGTACGTGAGAATGTTTAAAGCTCTCAGGTCTAAAAATAATAGATGACAAAATGTCCTTCTAGAGACACATGTTCTCTCCTTTCCCAGAGTTCTGTCTCTGTTGCCATCATCATAATTTGGGATTCTGCTAAAATTCTGTAAATCTTAAACAGTAATCTGTACAAGTACAGATTTATACTTTCTTGCTCTGTGGTTACTGACAGAAACACCAGCTAGAATTGCAGCCCTTGTCTTAGTGCTCTGCCATTTATTGTGTTATATGATATTAAAACTAGAACCATCAAAGATTTCTTTTAGCTCTCCACTTTTAGGTTCCTCTAGTCTCCAACCCGAAATGCTACAGAAAATAAAAAACCCCTCTGGAATGATGAACTCAGCAAATTTCTAACAGCTCTCAGTGGCTGGGTTATATGTGTGGTCAACAGATCATATATATATACTACATTTATATGTATAAGAACTACATCTATTTTTGCTCTGCTTTAATTGAATAAAATTTGAGAGGTGGTTGGCAACTATTAGCTCAATCAGACAAATAAGATGTGACTAAATTTTATTGTGCGTTCCTGTGCTGCCGAGATCTAATTCCATTCTTGGTTATCACTGCTTAGGTTGAGACTACAATCAGGAATTTTAAGAGAAATTCTGAACTCAGTGCAGTCAGAAAGTGATATACTTAGTAGCAGCAGTTTCAATGGTCTGGGGTGACGTTGAGATAACAGCCTAAAAGATTTGCCAAGCATCTAAACAGTGAAGGGTGCAGATGACTTTTTCAAGCATGTCCTTGAATTCACAGAGGGAGCTCTGCCCTGCCTGCTATGGTACTAGAGCTGGGGAAGCAGTTACAGACCCTGCATACTGATACCTTGTATGTACAGTCACCAGTGTAATACCCTCAAATACATGGACTACAGGGGAAATGAGACAGCCCTCTTTTCTGAGAGGGATAGCCAACACATTTCAGCAAAGGTTAACTGAAACTGCACCAAAGTATGATTGCAGTCAATTTTTTTTGTAACAAGATTATTACAAACCCTATATTAAATAGCAAATTTTCTAAACAGAATTACAATGCTGCATTTTCAAACTTTGTAAAAACAAGCAAGCAAAAAACTCTCCCACCAAAAGGAACAGTGTCATTTTAAGTGGAGCCATGTCTGATGTTGAATCCTTAACAAAATTACTATCTCTATTATAGCTGTTTTATCAGATATCCACTGTTGCCTGCCAACAATATGGGGTCTACAAGTACAGACTGGTTTTTGAGGTTTCTTTTGCTCCATTCCTCTGATCTTGTTCAGTGAGAGTGATGTCAGTTCCCTGCTTCATGCTTACACCATCTTAATCATGAATAAAGTTCATTTGGGGAATGTAATGCTATAAATTGCATAGGAATTGCAAAGTCAAATCTCTTTATTTCTTTAAAATATATAAAATGCCCATGGCTAATTTAAGAGTATATGACCCAAAGAAACCCCATAAACCCATGCTTTTCTAACAGAAATATTTCTGGTATTCCTTGTCTGATAATTAATAACCCACACATACTTTTACTTCTCTGAAAAATCAGCTCATACTACCTTTCCCCACAGGGATAATATTTATTAAAATTCTAAAATAGTAAACATTTTTCTCCTCTGATTTATTCTCTGAAATGGCACTTTCACCAAAGTTTTGAAAGAGAAAAAAATGTTTCATAACAAATTCAGTGTCTCACTCACCACTCTGCTGAAGTATTTGTCCAAAACTTCCACAAAATTATGAATTAGTTCATATACTGCCATCTCATTCTGAAATTAAAACCAACTGAATATTAAATCAATATTTACAAAATGTAGTAGTATTGTTTGTGTTAATTCAGTCTGTGGTGAATGAAAAGCCACTAGCACAGTAAGCCCTCTGCTCAGGCCGTGTAGTTGCCCAGCTGAGGTGCTGAGAGCTGGGCAGCACTCAGGGCAGAGGCTCAGGGCAGCCACACAGAGCAGCTCTGCAACAGCCAGTGGATTCTCTGCCCTGGGCTGCTGCCAGCCCCCTGCTGCCTTTGTGCCACCCCTCCTAGCTCAGCTCTATCACACACATGGCTAACTAGGTTAAGCTTACCCATGCTGAAGTCACACCAGCCAGCTGTAGCACTGAGCCAGCCTCTGCTGGGCAATTTGTCCCAAACTGCCTGCCTGATTTGAAGATACTGTGGTAGGCAGCAGCTACCTTCCACACCACCCTGTTAAGGCCTCTAACAGTAAATGCTGTGTTCATTTCTGAGAACCAGTTATCAGTGCAAACACTAAGGCCTCCCAGGTGCAACCTGAACAAATGAAATATTAGTACTTGTCAGCTTTCAGATACCTTTCTTTTTTCCCTTTTTGAAAAACAAAATAAATTGGCATCTTTGTAGCTGACAGTATAGGAATTTTTTCTTTGTCCAAGGACATTAAAAACAGTGAGAAGTCATCACAGATGAGACAGATGACCCGGCTGTAATGTTAACATTTTTTTAGGAACCCACCTCACATAAATTAGTGCAGAATCAGTACAGGGCTCAGGAAGACTACCTCATGGTAACAGTTCAATCTACTGCTAAAGACCAAAGTCAAACATAGCACACGTATTTTGGGGTTTTTCTGTAACACTCATTACCTCTCTTACTTCAAAGAAATAAAAATTTTGGGGGGAGGGGATTGGTTTGTTTGGCTTGGGTTTTTTTTGGTGTTTTTTTTTCTTACAATGACTTCTTGAAATTCTCTAATTGCTATTGAAAAATTCCATGGATGAAGAGCCTAGCCTGTGATAATCACTATAAACATTCATTGCAAGAGGGTATATAATTTCTTACCTCTGTCTGGTCGATGCCAACAACTATGAAAAGAGCTGCATACTGTCGGTACACCAGCTTGAAGTCCTTATACTCAATGAAAGAGCACTAGGCAGAAGCAAAATGAGTCAAATAGAGCAGCTGCCATTTAAGCATACAACAGTGTAAAGGACATTGCTCAAAAGGCCTGAGGTTTCAAGTTCATAAGACAGAGAACATGGATTTCCCAAGATTCATCAATTTTAACTTGAAAGAAATTTAGTACGGTAACTTTTACACCACAGTTTTCATCTGCTGGCAGAAAACGTGCCACCACTTTTTAAATGGAAAAACTGAAACACGCAGGACTAAAGTGACTTGTTTGGGGTTATAAAAGCACCCATTACTTTCTCATAATTTTCATTTGCAAGCCCTTTCAAAAAGAGACCTAAAGGTAATTTTCCTGTTTTAAAAAAATTACCAATATTTTAATGTAAAAATGGAAATGAGAAAATTCCAGATCCAGTGGTGAATTAGCAGGTCTTTCCCAAGAGGAGAGAGCCAGGAGATGGCGCCGTTTCCTGCCTTTGCTCTCCCCGTCACTCCGCCCGGAGCCCGAAATGGCAGCGGCAGCGCCGGCAGCTCCTGCGCTCGAAAATGCTCTCACAGGAGCGGCACCAACACGGTCATTTCTTTAGCCAAAGCTGTGAACTACGGGACTTACAAGAACTGCTATTTTTATTGCAGAATAAAGAAGAATGTTTCCTAGAATGAAGTATGTAAGGAGTGCTGTGCACTGTGCTGTGCTGTGCAAGAACACACATCATTAATGAAAAGTAAAGAAGCTGACTTCAGAACACAAACCAAAAAACTTCATTCACTATCGAAGTCATATATTTCTCCTCTAATTCAAGTCAATCTGCAAAAGTTTGATGCTGTTCTTAAAGAACCAACGGTTTAATTAAGAGAGCAATGAAAATCTGAACTTTCATACAAAAAATTTTCCAACTTCTATATTTTCTGACTTTCTTGGAGAAGACGTGAACACTTTTTTTGAATAAAGGAGTCTAATACAGAGGCCTAAAAATCTGTGTTTCCAAACCTGCCCTGTGCTTTAGATAATGTTTTCATAATTTGGAATCCTCTACCCTAAGTTTAAACTTGGAGCTGTCATTACTCTGCCTTCTACCTTCTGGCAAAACAGTAATATCCCCCCATCCATCTCTATCAGACAAGCAATACAAAGATAAAATGAGTATTTCCTGACTTCTGAGCTTCTTCAAACAAAGAAGAGGAATCTTCATGACAGTGATACACACAACTCCAAAATCTCTGTAAGCCTCAAAAAAACATTTATTCAATACAGAATAACAGTTCAACTGACTGAACCCATAATCTAGAACCTAAATCTTTTTTATCATGGGTACAAATGAAATAATGACCTGCGACAGACACTGATAGGTTTCAGAATTATCAATAGGAAAGATGTGAAATGTGGATAAAATAAAACCTACAAAACCTACCTCATCCTTTGAACGGGAGAGACAGTTTTTGATTACTTCAGCTTCCAGTATTGCCCGTTTATTAATTTCTACATGCTCATAATACCTGGACAGTCTTGTTTGACCTTGTTTGTTTACCATAAGAAAAAATTTTATCATTTCTTTTATATTGACTTCAATGGTAGACTTCAATTTTGGGTGCAGGAATCAAGAAGAGTATTTCTGGGAGCAGAAAAAATAAAAAAAAAAGAGTAGTAATACATAGGAATGAAGCCTTCCTAAAAGCTATCCAGCCCAGGTATGCATATATTTATGACTGAGTTTATTGCCAAAACATAGAGCATAAGAAAAAAAAAAATTCTCAGATCTTTTGCACACATCCCATGGAAAAACTCAGTTTTCCCCCCATGCAACTAGTCACAAACTACCTAATAAATAACAGCTTTCATATTTAAAATTTTCATATTTCAATCGAATTAAATTCTTGGTAGGATTTGGGAAATCAGAGGAGTAAACAATTACTTTTTCATAACCATAAATTTACTTACCACTTTCTTCCTGCATGCTAACTGGTCTGTAAACATCAGAAATTTGCCCAATACCAAACCACTCTAATACAGCTACTAAGAGCAAAATTTGCCTATAAAGCACTTTTTTCCCACCTGACTTGTATTTAACAATTACATTCATACCATTGTCATAACAAATTGAATGGAGAGATGACAAAGGGAAATGCATGGGCCACAACAGATGATCATTTCTTTAATGCAGAATGAGAGACTCCTAAATATTTGGGTATCTGCAGTATCAACATATATCTTGAGCTGGACCAGCAGCTACCTGATTTCCCACACGGATGCCGTAGGTAAATTCTGCATTTAATGCAAACTAAATGTGGGTCTTCAATAGATAGAGAAATTGATTCACATTAATTACTCAAAAGAGCTTTATCTCAATGTAAATAAATATTAAGCCACCCAATGCCACTGAAATATAGCTGTAGAATATAAACATACCACATGCAATGTACAGTGGAAAATAGCATTAAAAAGAGCACAGCATATGTCAGAATCTGCTTGCAAAACAATTGACATCTCTGATGTTTTGAATAGTATGAAAATAGAGTAAGCTGCAAATGTAATTTTTTGAAATAGAAGTTCTGGGTTATTTACTTTAATGCCTGAGAACAATCTCTTTAATGTTTTCCATCTGACTCTCTATTTGCATCCCAGATTTATTGACTCAAGTAATCTTAAGGTTTGTGCACTGGAAATACAACAACTACTGCAAAAACTATTCCTTTTTTTCCAGTTCTGAGGAGCTTGTCCTTACCTGGTGCATCTTAAGTCTCAGCTTCTGTGACAAAGTGTAAACAGAAAACTATCAGGAATACACAAAACAATACAGTGTAGCTCTTTGAGTACAAACAGTGTATCTTAAAGTAGACAAGAAAAAGGGGGGAAAAAATACAAGGCAAGCTCCACAGGTGCTGCATCATATTATTAGCAACTTGAATTAGCTGGCTATATACCATCCCTGGGTGACAAATCTTTCATGCCAGTGATGCAGCAAGGGCCAAAATATTGTGCTGACATTAATTATTGCTTGCTTCTGATTCACAGTGGTCACTTTTCTGAAAGAAAAGCCACCTCTTTTACCACCACTTGGATCTCAAGAAGTAACCCTCTTTTTCTCAGTGTACTGTGGCTTACTCTATCTACAAAGAAGTCTGGATTTCCCCATGAAATTTCAAATATGTTTTTATTAATTCGACTTGATACTGAGAATTCATTCGTAGTTGAGTGACATGCAGTTAGCTCAGGATCAGTCCTCAAGACAACAGAATCTATTTGGAATCATGACAATCTCAGAGCTTTCTCACCTCTTCCACGTGAAGCCCTCTCAGGCACTCACTTCTGTTGTGTCGCTCCGACAGCAGAATCCTGGGTGCTGGTCAGTGCTGCTGCTGGCTGCACACGGCTTGTGCACTGCACCCAGGGCTTCTGGATCAGCACAAGTTTGTCTCTGAGGAAGAATAAACCAGGTCATTAGAATAAAAAAAGGGCCCAGATAGAAATGTATGATGGGATCTTCACTGTTGGATGGCAAGTAGACTGACGTTGATGACTTAATGGAAGACTAGCATATATACAATCTTTGTTTAGTATATAGCTCTTTTTCCCCCTCACACTCTGTTTTAATTACTGCTTCAAGTTAGAGTTGCAATAATATATCTTAATATTTTTAAGCATAAAGTTGAAATACTAAGATGATGCAGTCAGTTTTTGATAAAAACCTTCCAAGAAGGACAAGAACAAACAACTCCTTCCAGCTCAGAATGAGGCCCCCTAGCAAGAGCCAACCTCACGGCAGAAGGAACATGAAACTTTAAAGCTACTTAAGAAGGAGCTGTGGCATGAAAGAGAAGCAATATGAGAAATGCTGCCCATTGTTTTAAGCAAGCTCAGGCACAGGAGACCAACTGCAAAAGATGTCTGTCCATGCTAAACAGATAATAACAGTGGCGTAGACAGCTTTTCTTTTTTCATCTTAGTTTTACACCTCATCATTGTGTTTGGCACTGCTGAAACAAGAATTAACAGTTCTCTGTTTTCATCCAAGCTATTTTAATCATTTAGTTATGAACAGGGCCAAGGGCTTGAGAACAGGACAGGGAGAACAGTACAACCATCCCAGGAGCACTGACAGAGCTGTTGTACTTTGAGTTACTGCTAAGCAATACGTAACAGCAAGACATATGACAAATTCATACGTATGATCCTATTGCAGGATTGGCTCCTAATCCTAATTATTCCTTTATTAACCTAATCTTTGTACATGCTTAATCCCTCTCTGATGTTATGACTATTTTATCTCCATGTATCCTTATGAATGGCCTAGATTGTTTTACAGATGAAAATATTTAGACCAGATTGTTTTTTAAAAATCTGCACAAATGCTCTTATCCAGAATAGATTAAAAAATGAAAAAAACAATAACGTTGTAACAGAGGTAGAACCATAGTAGCACTCAAGTGTTACCTGTAATTTATGAGACAATTATTATTCATAGAATTGGAAAACAATCAACAGGTATTGAATCTGTAGGTCCATCCTTTCTGTCTATTTCTGTAGCTATTTCTGTATTTTCCCACCAGCCCCAAAGATAGCTTTCCAGATGTTAACCAGAAACTTTGTTTGTATAAATGGCAGCACAAGCACACAGTTTTGTGCAGAAAAAGTGGTATAAATTAACAAGTTCAAATAATAACTTTGTAAAAATTTACAAAAAGTATGCAAGTATAGCTGACTTTGAGAATAATGTTAAAAATATCTTACGGGGTTCATTTCTTTTAGAATTAATTCTGAAAAAAATCACTTGAAGTAGTAAAAGCATTTGCTTGCAAAATTTGGGCAAAAAAAGGAAATGATGGAGTTTTGTTTCTAACAAACATAATTTATTTCTTCTCTTTTCATCTTGGCTTTCAGATACAGAAAACACATTAAAATGAGTTTTGCATATATAGGATGTAAGGAAACCTGTGAAATATAATAAAAAACCAAAAAGCATATCTGTGCATGTTGATGGGTAAAGAAATCCCATTCCTTCAAGTTCTTTGTATTTGAGAAGCTACCTTTTATGATCAATAATCAGTACTCAAAAAGCTGGCAACCTTTCTTCTGATACAACTCTTACATACTCTTCTGAGCATTCTCACGCATATGTCTGTGTGTATCCATGCCCATACACACTGGTTATGATGCTTTTATGCATGCAGAATCAAGTGGTTCAAGGGAATTGGTGACAAGATGCAAGCCTTTCATATCTCTGCCAGTATTTTGCTCATTTTAGTAATGAAAAGACATTACTATCTGAAGGCTGTTTGTCAGAAATGAATAGGCTCTCCCATTCCAGGTCACTGAACAAGTATCTGCACAAATGTGCTTAGGAACCAAAGACTGTAAGAGACTATCAAGATCCTGATGGACTGTCAAATCCAACTCTCTCCATCCCAGTCAACCATGCATTAGAAATTTTGTCCAGAACAGCCTGTGGTATATGCTTCCTGCATAGCCAATCTACAAAACACCTTTGCAACTCTACCACTGAATGAAGACTCCTCAGAAATAAAAAACTCAAAAAGTATTGCTTGGGGAAGATGTGAAAAGTCTGGAAATTGCAAACTTTCCTTCAAAAGAAATTACCTTCTGGAGTGACCTTTACTTCCCTAACAAAATACATCTTCTGTAAGGATAATTTGGCACGCATACAGATGACATACAGTTTATCTGCTGTGATTTAAATATGAGCTGTTACGGTCTGTTAGATCTCATCCTCATTAAAGTATCTCTTGCAGATAAGTATCTATGAGAGAAAATTCATATAGTGATTGGCCTGTGTGACTCACACTGCCAGGCTGACATGGTTCGAGAGCTGCTTCCAGTACATGTCGGCTCTGCAGGCTGCATAACCACATGAGACACCTCAAAGTAACTTGTCCCTGTTTGAGTGACACTCCTTTTCAGATAACAGCTGAGACCTCACAGAGAGGTAAAGCCTGCAATACCTGTTCTGCATATAAAAAGATCTGAAGTCTCCCACAAGGCCAACCCTGCGGAATCTACATGCAGTAATATAAAGCATATTTTAAATATAATTTTAATTATTCCTCTGGTATAGATACAAGCACTGAATTTAGTTTGTCACAGATTTCACCAATACTTGTACATAATCTGACAATATATTGAAAAAAAGGAAACACAACCTAAGTTTGAATTGTACTTGCAGTACAGCTGTAATTCAAATTAGACACGTGTCTCAAACTAAAACCACTCCAGTCAATGTCTACAGATTTAGTAGTATGTTAGTTATTTCAGTCTAAGAAAGGTTTGCAACATTCTAGGGCTCTTAGCTAGAATGTAAGAGATAAAATCTCACAAAGAAGAAATGGCATGACTACATATATTACATAATTGCTTCACCAAGAATTAAAAATAAATGTTAGATAGAACTATAGGCAAATAGTGTACTGCACTGTTCAACTCTAAACAAGCTGATTTTCTGGATGTAGAGATCTAATGGTACTTTGTGTATGAAATGTAGAATCATAGAATATTCTGAGTTAGAAGGGACCCACAAAGATCATTGAGACCATCTCCTGGCCCAGCACAGAAAATCCCGAGTCACATCCTGTGCCCGAGAGTACTGTCCAAAAGCTTCTGGAACCCTGTCACTCACTCAGCTTAATGCTGTGACCACTGCCCTGGGGAGCCTGTTCCAGTGCCCAGCCACCCTCTGGGTGAAGAACCTTTTCCTGATATCCCACCTAAGCCTCCCCTGGCATGGCTTCAGGCCATTCCTGGTCCTGTCACTGGCCACCACAGAGATCAGTGCCTGCCCCTCTTCTTCCCCTCAAGAGGAAATTGACTGTGATGAGGTCTCCCCTCAGTCTCCTCCAGGCTGAACAGACCAAGTGACCTCAGCCGCTCCCCATATGCCTTCCCCTCTGGGCCCTTCATCAAATGTAGAACAAAATGGGTTAAACTGGAATGAAAACATTAGTGAATTTTAAAATGGCCAAATGACAGGCACGAAGCACAAGCAGGTGTAGCACAGGAAAAAGCATTTTTAATACTATTTTTTTATTGGGCTTCCTGAAGATTTATTGCACAAAACCATGTAGCAAATGAAGACCACAAACATAATCAGAACCCTTGGTCTTCCTACTTTTGTTGTGTCAGTGGACAAGGCTTTAATAAAACAACATACTATTTTAAATTTACCAGTAAAAGTAATTTTTGCATTCCAGTTTACTACTGTGCCCAAAACAATTCGTCAAAAAGATGAAACAAGTATGTCTGTGTGGCTTTTAAATAAAACACTGTGTTCAGTTTCAGGACAGGGATTTTTTAAAAAGGCAACCTTAATTGTCTAGGGAAGTCAAGGGAGGAAGGAAAGAATAAAAACGTTTTCCTTTGCTGTTGTCAAAATGCTGGCTGAATATAGTAACAGAATTAAACTCCAATAACTCTTATATACTCAGGAATGAGGAATGTCCTGGACAACTTGAGCTAAACAAAAGGTTAAACTAGTTATGAGCTAAGTCTCAGTTTTTAATAATGATTCGGTAACTGTCAGTAGACAATGAAAATAAATCAGCTGTGGTGGAAAGGAGCTGGATTTAGATTGCCTAATCGGTATGGAATCAGGAAGAATGGACAATGACATTTTAGTAGGAAATGATTTAATGGAGAAGAAAGGAAGGACTGGATGAACTAACTGAAGCATCAACACACACCTAAGGGGAGACTGGTAAAGAAAGGAAACACCGGTACTGAGACAAACATTAATTTTTTCCAGTAATTAACAGAATTCCAGGTCTGATAAGGATAGACCTTTTTTAGGAAACTACCCATGTAGTGAATGAGTACAGCATGTAAAAATTTTGAAGAGAGGCAAAACCAAAGACCTACCTTACTTAAAATGAGTGACCTATGGATCATTTGAAATAGAATGTGACGATAGTTTTTAAGTATTACATTGGAGAATAGTATTTTGCAACCGAGGTAACTTCACCATATTCAAACTACAGCCTTAAACACTGCATTGCTATCACCGATAAAACTAAGCCAAATAAAATAGACCAGCAATTTCTTGCAAAACCAGCCTCACGTGGAATAGTTTCTAATAGCGAACATGGTCCTCCTCGGGGGGGGGAATACATTACACACATCACAACCGAGTTATCATGAAGATGACCAGAAATTAGCCAGCTTCCAGAAACATACCATAAATTTAATACATCTCTTCTAAACCACCTCCTTATGGAGCAAACTCAGCGCACCATTAAATCGCGCAGAGTCTCAAAAAGTGAAGTGTTGGACCCGGCTGCACGCCGCTTTAGGACGCAGGCCCCGGCCTGGCCGCGTTCCCGCCGACTCTTCCCAGGGCGTTCGGCACTCCCGAGTGGCGGGGCGAGCCTCGCCGCCACCTCCGACTGTCACCCGGGGCAGACGGGAACCACCCGGCCGGGCC